AGCTATGCTCCAAATGTAGCATTTCACTAGTTTCTTCCTCAAATTTAAGTCCAATTTGCTGGTAAAAAGATTCTTCTTCTTGCTAAATGCAGCTTTTGCCATGGCAATCCTGGATTTAATTTCACTAGTACACCTTCCATCATCTGTTAACAAGCTACCCAAATACTTTACTATGTAGACCTAAAAATTTAAGAGTTTATTTTTCATAGTTGGGCTTATGAGAATCTCGTATTTTGTATCCACGGAGTGGCTTTTGTTTAGTGAACTAAATTTTATGTAAACCGCTATGCAAATTATGCCAGAGACGAGACTGAAATTTCCTTCATTACTGCTTTCTTATTTGTATGTGCGTGCTTATGAGTATCTCAGTACATTGAATTAGAGATGGCGAAAGGAAATAAACATGTCTGAAATCTTGTACTGAAATATATTCATGTGCTGAAGAAGCAGACAAAAAAGTACGTAAGATATTTCTATCATGAACACACTTACCTAGAGTAGACGGTACGTGCTTTCCGCTGTATGTTATACATGCCGTGATGTTGAAGCTGGTTGCGTAGAAACCAATACTAGAGACGTTTGGGGCAATAGATGCTTGATAAGTAATAACAGGAGATGTCTTCAGCACTACGGCGTGTCCTGACTTAAACGCGCCAACTGCAATATCTATCACACAGACATACAATTACGCCGTAAGTGTTAATCATTTTTTTTATTGCTAGTGGAGTGGGACTAAGACCCTTGTACTGCGGCCACTTCTGGCCTATTGTACCAGCCCCAGATGCTAGGAGAGGGTGACTGTGGAGCAATTGGTGGAATGAAGATTGGCAGGGAGAACCGAAGTACTCGGAGAAAACCTGCCCCAGCGCCACTTTGTCCACGACAAATCCCACTTGACCAGACCCGCGATCGAACCCGGGCCGCCGCGGTGGGAAGCCACCGAATAACCGCTTGCGCTATGGCGCGACCCAAGTGGTAATCATACCTTATCTTCTCTCACTATCTACAGACGCTATTTTCAAATATTCTCTGGCTACTTCCTAAGAGCCGGGATAGCTCAGTTGGTATAGCGACTGCCTAAGGGTCGGACTTCGAGTCCGGTAGCGTCAAGAATTTTCTCTTCTCCACACCGTCAAGACCAGCTCTGGGGCCCACACACCTTCCCACTGAATGGGTACCGGGAGCTCTTTCTCTGGGGTAAAGTGGCCGGGGTGTGTGCAACTGACCACTCACCTCCAGCTAGTGCCGAGGTCAAGAAAATATGGATCTATATATCGGCTCCCCCATACGCCTTCATGGCGTACTGCTTAACTAGTTAAGCACAGGGACAACTTTATCTTTAACTTACCATGTCGACTTCCTTTTGGATTCTTACCCATATTCAATTCAGAATCATTATCTGACGCTATAAACTTACACTGTTCATCCGTTTGTGATTTGTTTAACGACGCTGAGAGCACCCCATGCTACAGGGCCTAATTGTAGGACGTTTAATTTCAGAATTACTGGGTTTTGGACTTTGTCCATCTTCTGGTATTTTAAAGAAACGACGTTTCAGAAACTGTATCTGTTTCCGTCCTCATGTGAGTGGGTGGGAGACATCTACTTCTTTTTTGAGTAGTTTACAAGAGATAACCCCAATCATTCCTTCATTTGAGGAAGGAAACAGATCCATTTTCCGAATATTTCTGTTGTTCAGAATACGGGATAATGGACAACGTCCGAAACCACATTAATCCACAGCGTCACACGCCATCGTCAGAACCCTTTAGAATCTAGTAGGATGACTACTGTTTCATGAATAGGAAAATACACGTATGCGGTAGCAAGCGGTCATGGACTGGCCCATCGCTGCACGCTCAAACATTACCATGAAATCAACTTAGATGATCTAAGCACTGCCATAAAGACGATGTCACGGCCATCAACTATAAGAACAGATTAAATTCTACGCTGTCAACTGCAAAAAAAAAACAGTAAAAGTTTATATTTACTGGCTTCTCTTATCAGATCACGTTTTTTAAATTTATTTTAATTGGTTTTAAGTACTTTATTTTAATTTTCACGCTAGTCACTAATCCCTTCAAAGATAATGCTTTAAAATCTTATGTAAAGTTTTCCTTCATAATGTTAGTTTACTTTTGATTATGGCCACGAATGACCGAAACATGCAAGTCAGACAAAATTTTATTTATATAATTATTAACAGAGGTAGGAAGTTTGATCGATGTTTGACCTTTATCCCGTCATTTTCCTTTATGCTGTGACAGTGTAAACATGGCCGCTCCGCTAGCAGTTTACACCAAGGAGGAACAAAGAACAGTGATCCGATTTCTCTGGTCGGAAGGTGTGTCAGGGGCTCAAATTCACCGGAGGCTCTCAACACAACTCGGGGACAGTGCTCTGCCGCGTAGAAGTGTGTATCAGTGGATTGAGAAATTTAAAAGTGGCCGAACAAGAAATTCAAGACTCAATCTTCCGGGGGAAATGTGATGCTAACCGTTTTTTGGGACTCAAAATGACCTATACTAGAAGACTACCTGGAAAAAGGGTGTACGATTAAAAGGGCAAGATACAGTGATTTGCTGGCCAACGATCTGAAGCCTGAAATTCGCACCAAACGCCGAGGCCTATTGTCGAAGTAAGTGTTTCATGACAATGCATGACACACATGGCCGGCCAGACGGTTGAAGTCATTAACCATATGGATTTCGAGGTGCTGGAATACCCTGCCTACAGCCCAGACCTCGCCCTTTCCGACTATCGTCTCTTTGGACCGCGCAAAGATGTTTTACGGGGTTTTTGATTTTCTACGGACAAAGAAGCGAAGGAAGCGGTGCATAAGTGGTTGAGCGACCAACCGAAACCCTTCGTCTTGGAGGGAGTACGCAAGCTTGTGGACCGCTGGACCAAGTGCATTGAAAAGGAAGGAGACTATGTAGAAAAATGACGTACGTGGAGCAGTAGGTGGAATGAGACTTGGCAAGGGAAACCGAAGTACTAGGAGAAAACCAACCCCAGTGTCACTTTGCCCACCACAAATGTTACATGATTTGACCTGGGCTCGAAGCCGGGTCGTCACGGTGGGAAGACAGCGGCTAACCGCCTAAGCTATGGAGCGACCTAAAGACAACCATCATTTTCTATTTTTGACTTACCAGGATAATGATTTCTGTCAATGTCTAAGTTTCTGGAGAAGCTAATTCCGAATCCCAGGATCTGAGGATGAACCTCACTGCCAATGATCCGCTGTGAGACTTCCCTTTTAGGACCCCTTTGTCCTCCATGATAAATATATATTACACCAGTTCCTGACTCTTCATAGGGTGCTCCAACGACGAAGTCTGAAACAAATATATTGCCTGTGTAGGATCTTATGTTCCCGCAAGCAGTGGTTATGAAGAGTACTGTCTTTGGCATATAACTCCGTATAGTCCGTTGGAAGTGAACGGGTGTTTCGGTGGAACATATCGCCTATATCTTCAGGGTCGAAGAATAATCCAAGCAAGAAACCAGCCTGAAAGTAGGATCTACATATTCCGACGAATCGTCGGTTGACTTTCGACGGGCTACACGGCGTTACATCCCAGATGACAGAACTCTTCAACATATTCCTATTGTAACATTTCTTATTTTCCTCAGTCCCTGCCAATAAATACTGCAATAGTGCCTTAAATTTAGCACTAAGTAATGTGAAGGGTTACATAAACCGAGCAACAGACTATGAGTTTGTCGAAAAGAGAAAATGAGCAGCAATTAACTGCTTACCGTTGTATCCGTCCATATTGACGTCACCCAAACTGGACAGAGCGCTGCCGTACTGGGCTCCGGACCGCCGCGGGCCCACTATCGTCTGAGTGCTGAATGTCAGGTTGCCCTTGCATAAGAAAACACGTTCTACAACGTCTATGCACATCCTAGACATTGCTACTGAAACTAGAACATGGAGTAAGACAGGAATACAGGGAGGGGTGACGTCCTGGTGACAGGAACGAAAAACAAAAAAGTATATGGCCTCGTAGTGACTAGAAGCATTGAAAATTATAGGATGTAGACACAGAAGGCAGTGCCATAGCTCAGGCGTTAGTCGTTGGCTTCCCACCGCGACGGCAAAGGGTTCGAACTCGGGTTAATATATATGGGATTTATGGTGGACAAAGTGGCACTGGGGCAGGTTTTCTCCGAGTACTTCGGTTTCCCCTGCCAATCTTCATTCCACCAATTGCTCCACAATCACCTTCATGTATCATCTGGGGCTGGTTCAATAGACCAATAGTGGCCACAGTGGACTCTGTCTCACTCCACTAAGAATAATAAAAAATAATAAAAAATGTAGGCACAGAGCTAGGGGATATCTGTGGCCCTGTGAAGTCAGTTGCATATATATAATTTTGGAGAGTAGTGAAATCTTAGTGTGGAAATATAACTTGAATCCGAAGCAATGACTTATACAAAGAAATACCCCTTTGAATGTGCAGTAATTGTAATGTTAAAATCTTCGTCCAAAGCATAACAAATTTATCTTTTCTACAGGAGAAGATAAGGGGAGATTTACTTGTGTATGAATGTAACGGCTTCATTACAGAGCAGTAATGGACAAAACAGAATAGAAAAAGATTTTCATTCTGTATATATTTGAGCTGTGTGTTCTTCCTAACGGTAACCCCATACCCCGAAATGTATCCTACACTTCTTTAATCTTTAGTATCGGCCTGGCTACAAAATTGCAGGCTAAAAGGAGAGGGAGAGCGAAAATTGACAAATCCTGATCCAGTGCTAACCTGCCCAATATATACAAGTCCTAATGGATCAAACACACAAAAATTACATGGAATTCTTTCCCAGTTGAATGCGAACCATCATGGAACCCATGTAAACTTTAGGTGAGCCAAAGACAAAGGCGAGAAACTGGTGAGAGATTTGAGGTTTACAGGGGTGTGACTGTAAAGGTTATTGTCTACTGATTTCTGCTGGAGATTACTTTGGTTTATGTCCTAATAGAATAAACGTCATGACAATAATTACCAAGAAACTGACGAATTAAATGCCACTTACTGTCGTGATATAAACGTAGATCCGGCCTTGGTCCCATGTCTTCTTCTCTCCGTAATGTGGCGCCCCCACTATCACGTCATCCAGTCCGTCTCCGTTCACATCCAGGACGCACAATGCAGCACCAAAATACTCACCCATCCCTTCGCCTTCCAGTTCACGGATAATTTCCATCCTGTGCTCTTCACTGTTATTGGTCGCCACGTGGTAATCGAAGATATACACCTGTGAGAGCAAGTTCGTTTGCACTATGCTCGGACCTCCGCTCACTGAGTTGAACATCGAACTTAGATTATTTGCCGGTTATTTTTTGTGCCTTGCTAGTAATACGTAGTAATCGTAGTTTTTTCTTCAATTTAGTTTTCGTATTAGTGAAAACTCTCATTTCAATTTAGTTAACTAAGCATATGCAATGACAACATAAATTTACATGATAAATTTTCTGCGTGTTTCACCGTATATGTACTTACTTACAAACTTTTCAGTTTATGTAGATTCGAAAGGGCTGACTTTGGCGAATAACTGGGTTTTTATATGCCGTAGTTATACTGACATAAGTTGCTAAGTAATTGAAATTAGCTCTTTCTAACGAAACAACCAGAGTAAGTGCATTACGCCCCCTTATCTGAAGACGAAAACATCCATTTTCGGAAATGTTGTGTTTTTTTAGAATACCGGAATTTGTACAAGTAAAAAGAACACTAATCCCGGGTTTCAGTTAGCATTTATACAGATTCATCCCTATAAAATATACTTATGTTATACATCTTAAATAAAATCGTTCCTCGGAAAAGGGTCGCGGAATGCAAGGTTAGGTACTGATATTTGAAAGCAGAGGGATACAAGGACTGAGAGGGGCTGCGACTTCATGCAAATGGGATGTTACCTTTCCTTGGTACTTCGCCCCTGCTCTTGGTGCGCCACTCACGTAATAAGTCTTCTTCTTCTCACCGAGGAATTTTCCAGATGAGACCGAGTAACCTGACGGAATAAAAAATATTTGTCTGCATACTCCTTTAAGTCTTGTGTAGTAGCAGATTGTGTTATATCTCTGTAACTGGCTGAAGGAGAAACGCTCCTTCCTTTCTATTGCAGATATTTTGGGTTCAAAAAATAAAGAACAAACGTTTATGATTAATATGCAGTAGCAGAATCTGCAGGTTCAGACAATACCAGAGGCGTCTACGGAAACTGCTCTGAGAAGCTTCCATCCTAAAATAATTATAAAATAATCCTCCCTAAAATAAAAACTCCAAGATGGGTCTCGTGGTCCATAATTTGTCAGATTCAATGCTGAATGATATCATCACAGTGGTTGTTCTTCACTTATAAGTATTCCTTGTCCCCCTTACACACACAGACACATATATACATACATACTGTCACGTGTCCGCGGGTTCGTGACTAATCATAACGGGTTCTGGCTTGGATGATTGGATTTATTGACATCTTCTTTATAACCAGTTTTAATGACAATCAGTTACAGTAACTCACAATCAGTTTACAGTCGAGAACTCGCTCTGTTCTTGCTCTCCTGCTTCAGTTCCCTCATAGATGCTGAACTCAAGTACTGAACCGAACTCAGCGTTCGCACGTGTCCTCCCTTTATAACTTCAAGAAGAACCGAATAGGGATCACCACCTCCAGCAGTTCCTCTATTATTGTGTGCTTATCCGTTGCTGCGGACACATGTGTTAATTTCTTAGTCGCGTTCTGGTTTCCATAAGCATATTCGTTGCTGCGAGAATTTGTCTAGCGCCGTTTTCTAGCAATGGACGTCTCTGCGGTATTTCTCTGACTGCACACTTCCGGCGTTCAGGAGTCATGTCACAATACAAGCTTAAAACCCTTAAGGCTATAAAAGTAAATTTTGCTTACTTACTAGTTAGTATAGGAATCATAAGTAACTGCGTTTCGTTTTCCCTTCCTACAGTACAAGAAACTAATGAAGCTACATGTTTCAGAAGCTGTGCTGAAGGAAAATATTTGATTACTAATCTAAATCTATATTAAATTTAAATACATATTATGTTATTAACATAGGTATACAGGACCTGCATATATAGAGTAAAATGAGTTTCTTCTCCAGAGGAAAACTATATAAATTTAATTTACATCTTAAATTTAAAAATATTGTAAGCTTAGCATTACAATAATACTATGATTCACAGTTTATGAATCAATTGATTTGCAAAGAGGACTATTCTAGATACATATGATCGTGTAATCAAACAAAAGGTAGTGGGAAACTGAAAAACTAAACATAAATAGGCAAAAAGTTAATAGAAACTAGACACAAATATTGCTAACCCTTACCTAGATACGAGTAACTCCTTAACACCAAAGTTCTCAAAGGGTTCGGTACAATCGTAAGTTTGTGGTCATTTTCCTTGTAGCGTATAACAGTACCTGACAAAAAACAACAAACGTATCGTAAAAAAGATGCATTTTTTGTTCAACACCAAGAGACCCTGAAATGGCGTTACTGTTCAAAAATACAGATCACAATTCCTATTTGGAATAGTTTTAGGCGAACTGAGTGCGTCTTCCTTCAAGCCTGCCTTTGACGAGTACATGTATCATTATTACACCTGTGGACGTTTCTTAAGAGGTTTATCAACCAAAATTTTGTGTTCGTTCCTCGTCGCTCCCATCCTAAGCATATACCGATCCCAATGTGGTCTACTATATTTTACTGACCTAGTTAGGTGATGTATATGAATCATTAACTCCCTATTTGTGTAATGCTGTAAATTTACTATTATACTCACCCCTCTTGAATCAAAAGATTCCCATTTATATTCAAATATTTGTAACGGTTGATGTGCCATCAAAGGAAGAAACCGACTTCTTCACGAACACGACCAAAATGGTAAAATAATTATTTTGTAGTTTCTAAGAGCCATCGATTTGGGAAAAATGGGATTAAAAGTGTCCGACCTAATCAATGGTGAAAAATTTCATAATATTTTCTTCGTCTAAATGCATTTATTTATTTTGCTGAAATACTGACATCAATCGGAAATCGAACCACTGTGTACAGAATATATTCTCTAGGCTGTACACTGAGGTTAACCTGTTTTCTTTATTGTTTATACGAGGCGTAAATAAACACAGGTCAGACAGATAGAGACAAAACCCTGGTTTCCTATTGGTCTCCAAATACCGAACTACCTCCTGATAAGCTGTTCGTACATGTCTGTGTTTATTTCTGCAGAACAACTTATTGTCAAGGTCTCGAAATAGTACGTGAACAGTTACAGTACTGAGTGTTTTGTAGAAATGAAAATATGTAAGGTTTGCAGATTATTTACATATATTTTTAATAACTCACATTGCGTTGTGTCAAATGATAAGATGAGTAATGAATAATTAAATTAAAAAGATTGTGGAATATGGTAGTCGTGCCCTATTTAAAGTACTTTCCTCTTCAAGTATTATGTTTATGGACACTATCCATTATCCTGTTTTCATCTAAAAACCGTCCTGTTTATATTTCAAAATACATCGTTTCGGAGACTGGATTCTGTCTCCGTCTTCAGGTAAAACCTACAGAATTGGGACCAATCGATAGAGTTAGTCCCTATCTCAGGACACCTATACCAACACCAAGATAGGGTATACAACCCAAGCACAGCACAAACCATCTGTGAGAGTTAGGAGACTAGCTCTATCCATTCGGCCCAACTGAGTAAGTTTTACCTGAAAATTGAGACAAAATCGTCTCCGAAAGGTTGTGTTTTGAAATATAAAGAGGGCGGCGTGTTAGATAAAGACAAGACGATGGATAATGTAAGGTAAAAATAAGGTTGTAACTGTGCTTAACTAATTAAGCGCTACGCCATGAAGGCGTAAGGGGAGTGAATAGATAGATCCATATTTTCTTGACCTTGGCACTAGCTGAAGATGAGTGGTCAGCTTCACGCCTCTGCCTCTTTGCCCTCGCGGAGGTCCCTTGTACCCACTGGATAGGAGGTTGGGTAGACCCCAGACCTGGTCTGGACGCAATGGAGAAGTGAAAATTCTTGACCCCACCGGGACTCGAACTCCGACCCCATGGTCGTCCAGCCAGTAGGCAGTCGCTATACCGACTGCGCTATTCCGGCTCTTCTACGGTGGATAATATCCAGAAACAAAGTATTTGTGCTAATGTATCATCATCAAAAACTTTTTAACTCTCACTATACCGTTTATTCACCTGGAGAAGCTGAGGAAAATGCCGAAAACCTGCCAGAATAATCGGCCTCGCGGCCAAGATGCGAACTGAGCACATCCCGAATGCAAGTGAGAACCGCTATTACTTCAGCTAAGAGGCTCGGTACTGCACAGCATAAGCCCCTTATTTTTCAAATGAAAAAATTAGAAGAAGGAATTATTTTGATAAAATTGATTATGTCACTCAGTTCTGAGAACTGTAGCCAAAGGGAGGTACTCGTATATCATATTTACGAGCATTCTTGTGGGCCCCAAAACAATGTTTCTCTTGTTTTCTAAAAAGCAGTATTTATAAAAATACTCGCCTAATATTCAAGTTAATAATCACCAGCATACCTGTCCAATCCATAACTCCAGGAGCACCTATTAATATTTCATCTCCTTCCTAGAAACAAAAAGTACAAACATAATTTTATACTCTATTTACGCATCCAAATGCATTCTGCATAAATTGATTACTTTTTTGTACGTTATATACACGAAGTGTATAAAATACTCATAATCTTAAGACGTCCATATTTTGGTCCCCTGTTATTTTCAAAAGTAAACCACAGACCTAGAATTATATTTCAGGCGCTCGACGCCAAAGTATTCGAGTATATGAAATCTCATATGTGGCATGTATATATATTTTGGTTCTAGTAAGGGAAGTGGCCACATTCTAATTCACAAATATGCCGGTAGATAGCATACTGGTTTGTTTGACAAGCCACAAACTCTCCAGTCTGCGTGGGTTGTGAATTGCCATTTGCTCATAAGTGTTTAAAGGAAAGTTGGGTCTCTGGCTTTGGGTGTCTTACCGGTATTACGGGTTTTTATATTTCTAACACAGACTCTAATTTATACGAATTTCAAATCAAACATTTTTCCCCATAATTTCTTACACAAAGTTTTTTAAGTGAACAAGAAAGATTTATAATTTGCACATTAAACAGTTTTTGGATAAAAACGAATTTTTAAAAAAATAGTTCTAAATATATTCCGTTTGATACTGTCTCTAGCGCCGAATAAATTCGAAAAATCAATCGCCAAATTTACAAATAAATATATACTAGATAAGATCGTGAGACATCCAAAATAATAAAAGCATTACATTTCTCTCATACACAAATATCTCCAACATTAATTAGGGATTCTAATTAGATAAGGGATAAATAGGTAATGTACTGCAACGTACTCCCTGCTGCCCATGCCAAGAGACCGAATGATAAAGACTTTTTGGTTTTTATTTCTTTTATAATTCTTCGGGTTGTCAGAGACCGAATACACTCGGTAGATGGCCACTACTGGCGCCACTGGTGATATTTGCCACCACTAGGATGATAGACAAATGTGGAGGATTCGATGGAAAGAGAATTGGCAGGAGAAAACGAAGTTCACTGAGCAAGCCCGCACCAGTACCGCTTTCTCTACCACAGATCCCACGTGATCTGGCCTGGGATTCAAACTGGGCAGCCGCAATGTGAAGCCGGCGACTAAAAGCTATGACACGATCGATATAACGAGGTTACTGAAATCACGACAGAATGAAGACTATAGATCTACACATGCTTCACTGCCTGAGTAGAAATCTCTCCGACTGTCTTCATTGTAATTTTCCTTTCTTAAAAGAGCTTCCATTTGTTTATTTGTTGTTTATACAGGGTGGGCCAGACTCAATTAGGCAGTTTTTGATTAGATGTTATTTTTATTGATAAATGTTAACAATTGAAATGGTTACAAAAATGGAATCGCACACACAGAAGTCATCGATTTTCAAGATGCTGGTCAACCTGGGCACCACCTAAGTCAACACAGGCTTGCAGACGCAAAGCAACATTTTCACACGCCTTTCTACACATATTCACCGGAACTTTATTGAACTCCTGAACAATCACCTCAAACAGATGTTTCATACTGTCAATGGGATTAGCGTACACCTTGTCTCTGAGGTAACCTAAAAGGAAAAAGTCTGGTGGGGTGATGGGTGATCGGGCTGGCCAATCCACAGGCCCTCGACGGCCAATCCAGCGTTGAGGAAAAACTTGATGCAAGAACGCCCGAACAATATTGGCGAAGTGTGGTGGGGCCCCATCTTGCTGCCACCACAGTTCATCAAAGTTCTCTCTCCTCTGAAGTTCTGGGATGATACTTTCCCTCAGCAACTTTAGGTAGGTTTCCCCCGTGACGCAACCTTCAAGGAAGAACGGGCCAATCAGTCCTTCGTACGTCACGCCGCCCCACACCATCACTCCCGGGGGCTGGAAATCGTATTCAATGGTGGCACTGGGGTTCTCTGGCCGCCAAAACACGCAGTTGTGTCTGTTGACCGATCCTGATGTGTGATATTTGGCCTCATCAGTCCAGACATTATTCCGGATAAGGCCAGGGTTCTCCTGAAACTTGGTCAGGATCAACTCGGCGAACTCAAGTCGCCTGTCGAAGTCGTCCTCGTTAAGAACATGAATAAGCCGTGGATGGTATGGCGTCAGCTTCATGTCACTCAAAACTCTCCGCAAACTTGTCCTCGAAATGTCCAGTAGGGACGACAAACGGCGTGTAGACTTCGATTTCTGAGGAGATGATGCCAGTTCCCCAGCAACACATGCTTGTGTGTCAGCAGTTCGGACAGTTCTCGGCTGACCAGGATGCTTGGGATTCAAAGCACTGGCAGTTTCATCAAACTGCCTGTTTATTCGGACGATTGTGTCCCTGTGGACTGCTGGCGGTCCAAACTATTCCAACATCCTGCGCTGGACTTCTGATACATTGTTAGTAACTGAGAAAAGGCGCACACATTTTACACGCTGCTCGATAGACAACCGTCTACGGGCCATGACGTTTCCTCGATGCGCACTAAGTAGGCAGAGTATTGACCTCGTTCACAGCATGCCGTATGATACTGCCATCTATCGACAACAAAAGGTACTTTCCCATTATCCCGTGTGTTGTTGGATTGGTTACTTTTTAATGATCAAAAACTGCCTAATTGAGTCTGACCCACTCTGTATAACGTCACTGTCCACAATTGACTCGAATTATTGAATAATTGAAAAAAGAAGAATGAAATGGAAAGGATTTGGAAGGAAACGGTTGCGGCCTAATATGAGGAAATATATCAGCGTTTGCACATGGAGACCGATTAAAGCCACGAAAACTCGCAGAATCGCTAGCATCGCTTTCGGGATTAGAATTGGTCACCACTCCATAAAAAGTCAGAAATGTTACCATTCAAACAAAGCCGTTCGGTCAGTAGAACAAAATCTGTTGTACTGAATATGGGTGAGCAAATTATATACCTACCGCTAGGCAACGACTCGGAAAATACATTCCCACGAAGTGTACGCATGCAACAGAAGGACCTACAATGCTAGGCAACGGATCATTAAACATGCCTCCTTATCGATACTAGCTGTATTTTTTGTGTGGTCCGTGCAGAAGGGTTATAAAGGGACACAATCTGAAGACGTGACGTGCAGAATAGTAGTCGAGTCGGGAAGTGAAAAGTCTAGTTTCGGGACGCGAGCCTGCTAGGACATGAGCTTGGGAACAGAGGAATTGAATTGAGTTGAGACTTCTGAATTTGCAGCTGCAGAATAATGGCAAGAAACGCAAAAACAGGCATGTCATCATGAAAAAATATCCAATTCCTTAAAATCAAAAAGAAAATCACTCCAACTATAATCGATTTGTAACTCTTTTTCAGCATTCTGGCAACTGTAGCAATAAAATATTCTGAATCTTTGTGACTCACCTTGGTAAAGTGCACAGACATGCCAGCTTGTCCGAAAGCATGAAAATTCGAGATATTTCGTAGAGAGTCTGGGTCGTGGGGCTTCTTTTTGTAATACATATCTGGAATGAAATAGACAGGGTTAGAAAGTATAAATGTATTTAATACTTAACCTGCTGCTATAAACTTTCACCAATCGTTGCCGAATTATTCGCTGGCAGAATTTACCTCAATGACTTTAACGAGTTTATGTTTCATTGATTTGCTGAAGACAGTCTAGCTTCAGGAAAATTCTGTTGCGGGATCAGTACACGTGTTACTCTTCGCACTGCCGTAACCGTTCATCAGCGAGAGCAACCTAATGCGTGCACCTAATGTGGATTTAACTAAAGATCCAGAGATTCCGGGTTCGATTTCCGGCTATACCAGATTTTGTGAGAAGTAGAGGGTCTGGAACGGGGTCCACTCAGCCTTGTGAGGATAATTGAGGAGCTATTTCAAGGAAATAACGGTTCCGGTCTAGAAAACCGATATTAACGGCCGTGGGGATCCGTTGCACTGGCCACGTGACACCCTCTATCCGCAAAAGGTGGTACTAACTTCGCCGACAAACGGCGGTCGCTTGGTCGGTATAGTTCGCTTGCGGACTACAGGCAATTTAGTTTGTATCTTTTTTTTATCTGTGACTCTGCATCACACCCAATAACACTCAGCTCCTGATATAAAGTTTTCCAATGAAATATAGCTTTTCTTATTTCAGGTTCATGAACGCATTTTATCTTTATGAACTTCTCGTGATTAAATTTTATAGAGAAATAATCAATTCCAGAGTAGGCATTTAATAAAGCACTTTTAAATAGACCTACAAGCAGCAACCTGGAAGTCTAACATCATTAGCCCTATCAAATGCTTCTACGTGGCTATGCGAACCCAGAAAATGCATGAGGATGCATACACTGGAATTCTCGTATAGCTCCAAGCTGCTCCCGGTTAAGCTCGCGTGCTGCTCGCGGACACAACAGCAATATTCGTTTCAACCTTTACCAAATCAGCTTCAGATTGTTGCCTGTCTAATGCTGGTTTCTTGCTTGACTTACTCTTCTATCCTGAAAATGAAGACGACGCATTCCTCTGAATGATCGGTTGGTTTCCAACGGACTACACCGCTCTATATTCCAGAAGATAGAAATATCCATAACCACCGATGCGAGAACCTAAAATCCTAAATATTGTCTTTCTTCTTCTTTGCTGGCTTTACAACTCTGTGTGGGTCTTGGCCTCCTCCACAAGTTCCTGTCCAGGATCTTATGTTATGCTTCCATCCAGGGATGTCGCATAATAGAAACTTCTATAAATTCAGCGATACTTTAAAGAAACGTATTGCCTTATGGTGCTCCGTAACTTGGGCAAACTTCACTCTACAAGGAGTCACAATCCAGAACACAAAGAACATCAAATCTCACTTCAGACTGTTGATTCCAGTTACTAATTCTCATGTGATTTCACATATATCTATAATGAATACAACTATTTTATATAAAAAGTTAAAGTTGTCAATATGTTTAAATAATTAATCACTACGCCATGAAGACGTATGGAAGATTGGATTTCTAGATCCACGTATTCTTGACCTCGATACTTCTTGGAGCTGACTGGTAAACTTTAGGCTTTACCCCCATTACACTAACGGGGCTCGAAATCCGGCCCCTCAGCCTTCCAGCCCGTAGCGAGTCGCTATACCGACTGCGCGCTCTATGCTTCATATACTTTTACATGACGATCACAATGGCCGGACGTTTTAAGGCATGAACCGTTTTCGCCCCGCTTGAACACTTAGATCGTGTGTTCGAATCCCACTCGAGGCATGGTCTGCACGCGTTTATTCTCTGTTTGTGTAAATAGCGGTCTTGAGACAGGCTGATCCCTCGTCCAAGGAGTCCTACCGATTGTGTATAAATTAAGAAAATGATAAAGCGTCCAGGGTCCTCAAGGACCGTAGAGTCGTAGATAGATACAGATGGATACTTTTACATACCTGAGTATTTCTTAAGAGGCATTAGCTTCTCAGCACTCCTCTCAGAATTCGATATGTTTGTGACGTAGCAAATTCCAGTGACATATTCATGCCCTTTGGATGAATAGAAGCGGTTTGTCCAAAGTGGTGCACAAACCTAAATAAATGGAGTCATAAACAAATCCGGTGGGTTTACTTAATAGTCATAGAACAGACGAGGTATTCTTAATATCAGAGTAAATACTAGAAGAGGACAAACTTGGTACAATCATGCACTTCAATTTTTCAATACAGAAGGATGATGGTCTGCAAGACGCTATTTGGATGACTTCAGGTGTATTCCCAAGTTCTGCTCCGTTAAGTTTCATTCATTTTCAAACATAACATACTGTATTTTGATTTATATACACAATATTTAATATTTAAATATTATTAATTTAATGTTTAAATTCAGAGGAGGTTTCTTTCTTACAATCTGAACTAATACATTTACATAAGTCAAAGGCATTGCGATAATACTTGATAAACGACGCCGTATTTTAGGAAAAAAAAATTAAATTAAGAGAATATAAAATCTCCCTTTTAACAAACTGTGAAAACAAAATACTTCAAGGCGTTATTCAGACTGACCACCACAATATTTGTTAGAGAAAGACTCATGCTCTTTTTAAACATCAAATACATCCTACAAAAATTCATTTATAGCCTTATATACGAGTATAGTGGGCCTGTTATAGCCTAATATGGCTGAAGAACGGAATTTCTCAACATGTGTGAACGTCTCCCATTATCAGGCTGCAACAGAAATCCGTGAAATGCTTTACGAATTACAGGAAAAGTCCACTTACTATTTTATTGTATCATATTTCTTTTAACTAGAACATCATGAACAGACTTAAAATCTGAAACGAGTGAGATCTACTATTTTGTTTTGCAAGATTTCCAAAAATCCTGACATTAGAGGAAAACCATACGCTGAAGACCCTGAGAATATTCGGACCGAAGAGAGATTAAGTGACAGGAGGTGGAAGAAAACTGAACAACTGGAGTTTCGTAACTTGTGTTCTTCACAAAATATAATTCGGATGATCATGACGAGGAGGAAGAAATGGACAGAACATGTAGCATACAAGGAAGCAATGCGGAATTCATATCGTGTAGGATTCTGATGGGAAAGCGAGAAGGAAGAAGACCGTTACGAAGATTTAGACGTAGGTGGATGGATAATATTAAAATGTATCTTAGAGAAGTAGGATGAGGTGGTATGGAGTGGATTCATCTGACTGAGGATAGGGACCAGTGTAGGGCTGCCGTGAACAGGATAATGAACTTTTTGTTCCATAAAATATTGGGAAATTCTTGAGTATCTGAACGATTCGTGGCTTCCCACTCAGTCCTATGGAGTTAGTGGAAATGTGCAGGAAATATAAAGCCATGCAGGACCTTCCAAAGAACAGATATTTCCTTCTTAGCAGCTTTAATTTAAACCGCATTGTTAAAAGTAGTATAAACATATTGTGGCGTGCCTTTAGAAAGTCGGAATGTTTGAGATCAGAGTTGATTTCCTTGGCAAAGACCAGAGTTTCCGCTGCGACGCCTTTGAATCCGAATGCTAGCAAACCTAAGTAACGGATTGTTCGAGGCAGTTGCATGACAACCACTGTGATAAACATGTGTACTTCAGTCGGAACGGAATACTAGCAGGGAGTTGCCTAGGAAACGCTGAAACAACAAATGCGTCTCCCCGGAAATGGAAGGATATCCATGGAAACGACTACTGACAACTGATAAAACCGAACCATTGAACATGGTGCGCTCTATTCAGTCCGAGTACATGTGATATTAGAGTCCAGCTTCGACGAGTCAGTGTGGAGGCGGGGTCGAATACCTCCACCGTGACCCTGCGAGTCGTAGGAGGCGACGAAAAGGGAAGTCTCAAATATGAGACAGTAAAATACGGTTTCGAGTACCAAGGGACTCAGACCCGAGAAAGACTATGCTGGCAAGACCCAGTAGTATGTAAAAAGTACAGACCCGTCCTCTCGTCAGAGAGGGCGCCCCACAAAAAACAAAACCGTAACGTTCAACAGTAATAAATATCTGGTCATGAGCCCCAGACGGGGCTCGACACCAAGACTTACTGACTGACTGACCGTCAGTCGCAATGTGACTTGGACTTGGACTTGGACTTGGAGTCAGTCGCAATGTGGCTTGGACTTGGGAGTCAGACGGCTAACAAATGACAGACCCGACCTCTCGTCAGAGAGGGCGCTACACATGGACAGGACAGTAACTTTCATACAAAAGAAATATCTGGTCATAAGCCCCAGCTGGGGCTCGACACCAAGACAGACAGACACCGTCAGTGGTAACGTGACTCTGACTCTGAGTCAGACGGACCCCGTGTGGAGGCGGGGTCGAATACCTCCACCGTGACCCTGCGAGTCGTAGGAGGCGATGAAAAGGAAAGTCTCAATTCTGAGACAGTAAAATATGGTCGCGAGTCCCAAGGGACTTGGACCCGAGTAAAACAGCGCTGGCAAGGGCCAGTAGCATATACAAAAGACAGACCCGTACTCTCGTTAGAGAAGGCGCCCCACAGAAACAAGACCGTGACTGTCAAACGATAATAATTAATATCTGGTCATGAGCCCCAAATGGGGCTCGACACCAAGACTTACTGACTGACTGACCGTCAGTCGCAATGTGACTTTGACTTTGACTTGAGTCAGACGGTAGGCCCGTGTGGAGGCGTGTTCGAATACCTCCACCGTGACCCTGGACGAATCGTAGGAGGAGACGAAAGGAAAGTCTCAAATTTGACACAGTAATATATGGTCTCCAGTACCAAGGGTCTTGGACCCGAGAAAGACTGCGCTGGCAAGGACCAGTAGGTGTTGTAAACGACAGACCCGTCCTCTCGTCAGAGAGGGCTCCCATAAAAACAAGACCGTAACTGTCAAACAATAATAAAGATCTGGTCGCAAGCCCCACAANCCTCCACCGTGACCCTGCGAGTCGTAGGAGGCGATGAAAAGGAAAGTCTCAATTCTGAGACAGTAAAATATGGTCGCGAGTCCCAAGGGACTTGGACCCGAGTAAAACAGCGCTGGCAAGGGCCAGTAGCATATACAAAAGACAGACCCGTACTCTCGTTAGAGAAGGCGCCCCACAGAAACAAGACCGTAACTGTCAAACGATAATAATTAATATCTGGTCATGAGCCCCAAATGGGGCTCGACACCAAGACTTACTGACTGACTGACCGTCAGTCGCAATGTGACTTTGACTTTGACTTGAGTCAGACGGTAGGCCCGTGTGGAGGCGTGTTCGAATACCTCCACCGTGACCCTGGACGAATCGTAGGAGGAGACGAAAGGAAAGTCTCAAATTTGACACAGTAATATATGGTCTCCAGTACCAAGGGTCTTGGACCCGAGAAAGACTGCGCTGGCAAGGACCAGTAGGTGTTGTAAACGACAGACCCGTCCTCTCGTCAGAGAGGGCTCCCATAAAAACAAGACCGTAACTGTCAAACAATAATAAAGATCTGGTCGCAAGCCCCACAAGGTTGCTTTATGCCATGACAGACTGGCCGACTGAGCGTCCGTCTTAAAATGAGACTCAGACTCAGTCAGACGGTAAAATACGGTCATGAGTTCAATGGGGCTGGGAACCAAGAAAATTTTTGCTTGAGAGCATCCTGGGAAATTTTGCAGCGAGTCAGTACTCAGTTTTTAGTTTGGCTTCGACTACAACAGAAGCTGTAACTGTGATAGTAAAGTTGTGAATATTTGTACTTGTGAGTGAAAATGAAATTGGCCAATAAACGTATTCACCAAATCAGAGACCCGAGTGAATTTACTTGTCGCGTTACATGGGCAACGATCGACAGTATTAACATATTATCATGTGTCTCAATTCAAATTCCAATTAATTGTGCATTCAACTTAAGCTCAGACTTACCACAATCGATCCATTTCTGTCACCCATTGCTTCCAAAGACCCACCAATACCGGCATAATCTTTGTACTGTGAATATTTACCTTCTGGGTTAAGGTCGTTTCCTGTAAGTTACAATTACAACTACCATAATTTCCTAAGTTTTCTAAATTCACTTCTTTAGTACGTTTATACTAATTAACCTAAGTCAATAATTGAAGCATATTTAACACCAAACGGACGTCAGAAATCCGTTTTAATTTAGTCTATGTGATTTCAATATATTGTGACAACTTAATAACTGAGCAGACAATATTAATGAAATATTTCTGGCGCTAGGAAAGCATGTTGCACGATTGATGTGATTCATGTGAACGATTGAACAGGTTGATTTCTGGTTTATGCGAATTTTGATTGAAATAATCTGTGAATGGAAATATAGTGACAAAACTGGAATTAATAGGAATGTTAATTAATTTACATTAAATTACTTAAATTTGCAATAAATAATTTTGTATGCATATTTATAACAAAATTGAGTCGTAAAATAACTAGCAGTCAAATAGGTTGGGTACAAAATAAGCTTTTCCAGTCCATCATGGTTTTTCAAATGAGAGATATTAAGCACGTTTCTAAAAAGCAAAGCCGATTATAATATATAGACCTGAAAAATATATAGAATTAACTCTTTCATAAGAATATGTCTTCTCCTTACCTTCGTAGATCAGAAAGCTTACTGCGTATACCATCCTAAAAATGTAATTCTCGACCTCTTATTTTTTCTTCTCCAATTCCATGTTATTTTGGGCCACCTGCGCCTTCCAGTGTATCTGCATCTAGTCATCATATGCCTCAGTAATTCTCATGAATGTTTATCTAGTCACGTGCTCCCGGCCTATAACCTTAAGGTTCTCATATCTGTGGCTACTATTATTCTTTTCTTTTCGATGCTCCATCCTCTTGTTTATTGAAAGTCCATGAAATTTACGTATGTCCTTTCGTTTAAAAATTCTTCAAAATCCAACATACACTTGATAATACTGTATTTACTGTATTTTGGAAATCTTTACATTTAATTCAAACTTTTGTAACAAATTATTTTACACACACACACACACACACACACACATATATATATATATATATGTATATATATGCGTAATCACGGGTTACGTAGGGAGCATGGGAAGAAATGTTTCGCTCTCTACAGCGTACAGACCGACCCGACTCCGGCTCCCCCCCCCCCAACCCTCCTATCCAATGTGTCCCGGGGGCCCTCTCCATAGGTTAAAGAGGCCAGGACGTGAACCTGACCACTCACCTCCATCTAGTACAGAGGTTAAGCATGATGGAGCTATATCTCGACTACCCTACACGTCTTTATGGCGTAGTACTTATTTAGAGACTTGGGGAAATTTACCTTTACCTATGGGCATGATTAATGTGACTTGTTACGGCGATAATTGTAGGTCTGAATGATAGCAAGAATATTAATTTCGTTTTCATTGACAATGACTGTTTATATTCTGTTCGGTTATTTTTGAAGCTTCAAATAAAATAAGAATACATCCCGTAAAATTGCTCGCTATTGGCATTCTCGGGGCACGAGGTAGCGCGTTTGGTTGAGCCACTATGCTACAAGACGGAAGGTTGAGGATTCGAGTCACGATGAGGTGGATTTTTCAATTGACCTAATCCTTCCAGCCTCACTGTGGCCCTGGGGTCGAATGAGCCTCTAGCAGAAACGAGTGCCAGGAATCCTCCTGTGGGGCAAAGGTCGGCACGTGCGTAAGGTTGCCAATCTTACAACCATATGTGAGCCTATTGTCTAGAAGTACTGTGGGAACCTCGGCGTCTCACAACCCTATGGGTCTTCACTGCCTGTTACAGGGAGAGCTTTATCTTCTATGATCAATCTCCTTGAGTTTCGTGTAGTGAAAAATTGGTCCTTTTCACGGGACCCCTGGTAGTCGAAAAGAAGAAGATTAGTTGTGTTAGATATATGGAGTTAAAAAATGCATCTCCCTCTTTTTGTGTTATGATTTCTGTTTCTAACGGAACCTATATTCAGTTTGCTTTAGTGTGCCTCTTATTTACCTGTCACCATGGAAAGAGAGCTCCTGTCTTAGAGTAGTATAATCCCAATTAACTCTCTTCATGAACTTGTTCTTTCATTGTCTCTTTTAATATTTAGTAAATTACTCTTTACCCCACGGCGGCCGGCGCGTAGGGCTAGCAACCTTGCTGCCATCTATGAGCCGATTGTCTAGAAAATGTGGGAACCTCAACCTCTCACAACCCTATGGGCCTTCATGGCCTGTTACAGGATACATTTACTTTACTTTTACTTACTCTTTACCCCTATTTATTTATATTAAAGACTAAATTTCAGAGGTGAAAACGTGGATCAGATTCATGACGAAGCCGTGTGATCCACAAATTGCCTATGGATTTATTCTCATTTGGAATATAGGAAGATGATATGTCAGAACTCAACTTATGAGACAGTGTAAGACAGCTTCGAGATCGCTTCATTTTATACCCTAATTAGTAGCGAGAGGATGTGTTATTTTTCTTGGAGGGACTGGGAGCAACATCGAAAATCGTTTAAATGGAGTTACTTATTGTAAGGAAATGATTTATGAGAAGATACACGTAAGTAACTCAACCACACGTACCAGGAAGCAAGCAGGCACATACCACCAACAAATACTTGATATTAAGAGGGGCTCCACATCACAAGGTTTTTAATTTTTAAAATTTGAATCCCCCCCCCCACAAAGACCCTATACTGGCTCTGACCCGCTCTCTGCTACCTGCTCGCCCCTTCTCTACAGATACCACCCCTCTCCTCCCTATTGATTTCCCATGTGGCCCACTCTCCCTCTCTCCCTGTTCTTATACATCTGGGAGTTTTCGACTATTGGCTCAGTCTGCAGCCACCTGCTCACATTGGTTCGTCGCTGACGGATTTTTCTACCCTGAAGATGGAGACGATACATTCCGCAGAAACATCTGTTCACACAAGATCTACAAGGCACCACATTCCAGAAGATGCAATTCTTCATATTCACCCTTGTGGAAACCTCAAATCTTATACAATAAAATTAATTTGTTCTGCAAGTGTAAAGAATTTAATACGTAGCATATGATCAGTGTGCCAACAACGTAACAGTTTACGCGAAACAGCATGCAACCCAAAGATAGTCCTTGTGAGGCCGAAACATGTCGTGTAGTACTGGAAGAAGGATATGAAATAGGAGCGGTTAAACCAGGAACCACATGGAGAGCTGCACCGAAGTCTGAGTACATCGAGTAGCAAAACATTTTAGTAGGTTGGTAAAATACCACACTGTAATTTAAATATGATAGCATTCATTTGCTGGATCTAAAGCAAGAATGGAAAGTAATGTTTACATACCCGCAGGATCAAGGAGCTGTGATGTACATTTTCTATCTCCCTCAAGCTGGCAGTGATACACCACGCCGGGCTGCTTGACATTCACGTGACCTGGGTAAGTGGAGTTTCCTCGTGGTGCTCCAACTATCAACCTGAAAGGCTCAACCGAAATAGTGACACCCCCTTCGTCTGGACTAGTGAATAGACCTCATTGAATACCTCCTACTGAGTGCAACGTTTGCCGTCATTGCGCTCAGCTGCCAGATACAATCGCGAGACAATTTGAAACAGATCTTACGCATTGTGAGAGTGAGTAGCATATGTTCCTGTTGCTGCGAGACATTATGCGTCATTGTAGTATGGTTTAATACATTGTCACATAAATGATTACTGTCATCAGTTCTGGGGGTCACTTAGCAAATAGATTTTCAGTCTGCAAAATTACAATTACGTCTTTTGAAGTCTATCATGACAGCGGATGCAATATCACTTACCCGGTTCACATGTAGTAAGACAATTACGATGTACCCTATAGGGTTATGCATACTACACTACCCTTTACCCTTTTGCAGTAGAAAAAGCATTTCCGCAATCAAGATGGGTAAAAGACATGGAAAAAGATAGCAGAACACAGATATTTTAAGATCTTCAACTAAAGAAACGAAGTGAGTAAGATTAAACAAAGGAAGTACACTGAAAGAAACTTACTTACTTACTTACTCTGCCGCGCCATAGCTCAAGCGGTTAGTCGCTGGATCCCCGCCGCGACGGCCCAAGTTCGATCCCAGGTCTGGTTAAGTGGGATTTGTGGTGGACAAAGTGGCGCTGGGGCAGGTTTCCTCCGAGTACTTCGGTTTCCCCTGTCAATCTTCATTCCAACAATTGCCCCACAATCACCCTCACCTATCATCTGGGGCTCGTACAATAGGCCAGAAGTGGACGCAGTACAAGGGACTTAGTCCCACCCCACTAGCAATAAAAATAAAAAAATGCTTACTTACTCATGGAGCTGAGCCCTTCTTGAGAAGCCGCCACTTGTGCAACTACTCAAGAATTTCCTAGCATTTCATGAAACCCGAAAGTTCATTACCGTGTTCACAGGAGCCCTCCACTGATCCCTGTCCTTAACCAGATCAATCCAATCCGTACCATCCCATTCTATCTCTCTAAGATCCATTTCAATATTGGCTATATTTAATATTTAATATTAGTCTTCCCAGTGGTCTCTTTCCTTCTGGCTTTCCCACCAATATCCCATATGCATTTCTATTCTCCCCCATTCGTGCTACATTCCTTGTTCACCTCATCCTCCTTGACTTTATCATTCTAATTATACTTGGAGAAGAGTACAAGTTATGAAGCTCCTCATTATGCAACAAGAGATGCTTGATTTCAACACAGTTGTTAAGATACGCAGTCAATACAGACAAGAAGATAAGTAACTCTTCATTTATTTATTAATTAAAATTGTTAGTCGATGGTAGGAAGTGAATATGTGTGCTAATGAATGTGTGTTCAGTGTGTGCCTTGTCACCAGAGCGCAGTGTGCTCTCACAATTTGCTGATGATGACCTCCAAACAATGGAGGGTAACCATGAAAAAATGAACAATGAACACACATTGGTCCTTAAATTCTTTTGGCTTGTTTTGGACTTCATCCATCGTCTGGTATGTAAAAGACAAAAGACCACGACGTTTCGGAGACTGGATCTGTCTCCGTATTCAGGTGAGTGGGGAAGGATAAACCTACTCAGTTGGGCCCGTTAGAAAGAGCTAGTCTCAATCACTTGTTCAGTGGTGGTCTTTTGTCTTTTACATAGCAGGCGATGGATGAAGTCCAAAACAAGCCAAAAGAAGTACAGTGTACACCATCGTCAGAATCCTTTCAAGTCTATTGGTCCTTAAGTTCTACGGTTTCTTTTACGTATTTACATCCATAATCACTTTAAATTTGTTCGTCTTAAGGTGTTCTGAACATGTGTCTCACTCTATTGCAAACTTGCTTCAAAGAAAAATAATAACAAAGAAGGGAAGAGAATTAAGCAGTGCTTATCTCAAGGCCATGTTTAGGATAAAATTTAAATATGCAGTACCCCATATCCACATGAGATTTCTGTTTCAACCTTTAACAAATCTGTCATCCCTGGGTGCAGTTTGTTATGGAATTTAATATTAAACTTAAAAACTGCCATTATCTTGAAATATCGACTTACAAAATGTAAGTATTTTTCAAAGAAATTTTCACTTTATCTTTAAACAGAAAAAATAATCAGGAATTCATGTTGATATATCATATATGCCGACTGGAACTACTAAGAAGCGCGACAGTGTATTCATTATGCAACAAAATCTTGGACACATAATTACTGGGTTTTTGGATTTTTCTTTCGTCCGGAATTCTAGGAAATAGAAAACAACGTTTCGGAAACGGGATCTGTTTCCGTCTTCAGGTGAGGAAAGAAGACACCTACTCAGTTGGGCCCCTTAGAAAGAGCTGATCTCAATCACTGGATTAACTCTTTCTAAGGGGCCAAACTGGGTAGATGTCTTCTTTCCTCACCTTAAGACGGAAACAGATTCAGTTTCCGAAACGTCGTGTTCTATATTTCCTAGAATTGCGGACGATGGAAAAAGACCAAAATCCCAATAATTCTTTGTGTTATCCACCATCGTCAGAACCCTTTTAATTTTGGACGTTAAAATTTGAAACAAAATATATCTACTTGAATTTGTTAATAGATGAGTTGAAGGAGCATTTGAATATTATCTTTATACAGACCATTTTACTTCCTATGCAAATCGAACTCTTGTAAGAACTAAAGGTGACCTCTGGTATCTAATGCGAAACGAAATTTTAATTTTGATAATTTATTTCCTGCTCTTGAGTAGTTTTATTCGCATTATCACATTATACGATTAATGTAGGAACTGCATTTCCTTAAATAGTTTACCTGAATCTTGATTTTTCTTGAATGTAATTTTGAAATATGCTATCGTTTACAAATATTTGAAATATGATACATCAAAATATAGTTAGTTTCCTCTGCATTCACTTTTATAATAACCTTTGCACTAGTATCTAATGGAATTACTATCTTTTTCTGCATGGAATTTATTTTCTCACAATAAATACTAGCATAGATCAGAAGATTTTATGTCGTATTCAATTTCTTTCATTGGTTGCTTCCTGTTGTGTGTTCCAGATAACCGTCAACACAACAAATATACTCGCTTTTAATGGTTTTTTATTCCTGTTTCTTTGTATCTGTATATTAATGTTTTTAGAGGAGATGCTATATTAATATGACTATATTAATAACATGAATCAATGATATGTTTTAATACTTACGATGTACGCGTTGTTAATTTGTGGTATATTAGGCGTGCATATATCACGATATGTATCGTTATATCTGTAATCATGATATATATATAAGTTAATGTGTGAGTGTTAAGAATAGAGGGAGTCTTAGTGAATATTAGTGAGGTTATTACTTACGATCGTATGTCGTATGCGATTTTCGGTGCGACACAGGTTCGGTGTGTTCTATCTGTGCATAGGTTTGATGTAGACTGATTAGTAATGATCGTGGTGTATTGAGTTGTTTTGGAAATTGTTGAAGGGGGAGTGAAAGGAAAGGAAGGGGAGGGTGAAGAGGTAGTTGGATATAAAGTCGAATTGTAAAACATTAAAAGCGAGTATATTTGTTGTGTTGACGGTTAATCTAATTCCTATATGTGCCACTGAATTCCATTCCCTCCTTATTTTCTTTGGCCTGCATAATGGTATATTGTAAAGCAACGTTGAAAATTAATGGCTATAAATAATGTTTATTAATTATTAATTTTAACATATTCTAGCCGCCTTATTCCGGCCAAGGTGTTCATATGGAAATATATCATAGAACTTGTTATTTCAATTAGGCTACACAGAAACACAGCACTCTTTCTTAAACTCAACAGAGTAGGTCTACACATTATGCTGAACTGCGACTTAACACACAGTTAGGATAAGAAACTTACCAGCCATCTTGTTGCAGAGCAACAGTATAACCAAAAAAGCTTCCTTCTTGCCCACTCGGATCCTTTATCACTACTCCATGCTTGGGGGACAGATTGAACCCGCAAACCATAGTCACCAATGACAAATTTAAGCAACACAGCCATATTAGAGACAAGCAAATCTTAACCATTTTGTAACTATGAATTCTTCCCTCAATCCTCGTTCCAGAACCCTACCACCAGACACCAATCGGTTTACTGCAGCTGCAGGTATGTAATCAGAAAGCAAACATTGACATCAACAGGAATCGATATAAAGGGGGCCTTGTTAGTTTGGAAGAGATACAAAGCCTCTCCCGTAACACCAGGCTCATTTCGATTGGATCTGGGGTTCTCGTGGAGAGGACTGAAGAATAAAAGCTTTGCGGTGTGACGCCGTGTAGACTTGTGATACTTTGTGAACTGAAGAAAGGGTTTCGCAAAGAAAATGCGAAAATAAAGCGAAACATTAGTTTGAAGTTCGGAATATTTGATTGCAGAAACAAATTTGCTATGATTCGTTTTGCTTATATAACTATGATGTTAAAATAAGATACGAAATCATTTTCCTAGTAAATTTAATTTATTCTCTCATGCCGATTACTTACCATTAAAATCTCGAATTACTTCGGTCAAAAATCTCCAGGGGGTTACCAGATATTATAGAAAACTTCAGGAATTTTGTGTCTGACTAAAATATTCAATATGTTTAAGGCATAATATTTTTATTAAAAAGTTAAAAACAATATTACTTTAAAGCTCATTGATGTGGACCATTATAAAATGCACTTTTCTTGATAATTAGTTGGTCGTACTACATTGCGTATTGCTGTCTTATACTCTTTTGTTTTAAGGTGAAATTTCCAAAATACAACCTCACAAGAGCCACGCAACAATGCGGTACATCATCATACCCATACATTAGAAACAAGCTTGTGGCCACACTACACAATAAAGTAAACCTCTAATTATCAAGAAACTGCATTTGACAAAAATTTACATCAATGAACTATAAAGTAATAATAGTTTAAGTATTCACACAAATTTTATGACCTAAATATTTTACTTACACGTATTGAAAGTTAAATATTCCGTTTTTATCTCGTATCCTCATTGAAGATGGTAATTTTAGTCAAAATATGTCGGGGTTTTAGTAACATTTATTCAGAATAGGAAAATAATTTTGATAAACTCGTATTCAGATTTTGACTTCGCATCTTGGTTTAACAGAAGTTACTGAATATTACAGCATTCTGTATGAGCATTACTTAATGAACACTTAACGCTTAGTCTCTTATAACACACATAAGTTGTGAACTTTCACAATAGTAGACGTGAATCCATATTTTCCAAAATTTAATATAGTCTATCATGAGCAGAATAACTACTATGAAATTCATTTGGAATTTATAGTCTCCTGGAACTTCATAATTCGTCGCTGGAGATGACGTCAGCCTGAAAATCGGTGCAGTCTTCCTCTTCATTTGTGACAACTTCAGCCTGAAAGTGAAATGTCATAATAGTTTTACAGACACCAACCAGAACTTGTAATGGAAGAATAAAAAAATTTTTAAATTGGAGACTAAAGGAATTGGTGTACATCACCGAATAGAGGTCTCAGGTGCAGCTGAGGGTTGATGGTTTATATTCGGATACTTACTTACTTACTCATGGAGCTGAGCCCTTCTGGAGGAGCCGCCAATTTTGCAGCTACTCAAGAATTTCCTAGCATTTTATGGAACCCGAAGGTTAATTACCGTGATTACAAGGGCCTTCCGCTTGTGCCTACCCTGAGCCAGATCAATCCAAACCATCCCATCCCATCCTATCTCTCTAAGATTCATTTTAATATTGCCCACCCACCTACGCCTTGTTCTTCACAGCGGTCCCTTTCCTTCTGGCTTTCCCACCAATATCCTATCGGATACTATAATATCATAATATTAATTTGAAAAAAGTCGCAATCTAAACCTGAAATATTACGGGATTGCAGAAGATATATATTTTAAATAATATTATTAACCACCAAAGGGCTAATTAAAAGAAAATTTGTGTCTATCTAAGTAAGATATCTCTTTAGTATCATGGAAATTATTAAATTTCTATATCAGATACTAACATCTTTTAAAGCCTTCAGTTCTTCTTTCTTTTCACGCTTGAAGAAACCAATCTGAAAGAAAACACAAGAAGTCAAATTTAATTTCCCGTATATGTGCACTAAAATAAAAGAGCAATACAACGTATTTGTATGAAGCTCCTGAACTTGTACTTAAAAATGGTCGTGTCGCAGTAATAGTAAAGGGAAGGTCACGCACTGTGGCCTTATATCTCGCTTTCATCCAAAGAACGGTAAAGGCATGTTTAAGAGTATGGACTGTCCTATGTTAAGAACTTGATATACGAGAGAATGGCCTTATGAGGTACTTGTCCCAGGTAGATCGTGGCAGATTAAATGGTCACGTTATTACGAAATCATTTCAACAGCGTATTTCAGTGAATCCAGCGGTGACCTTGAAATCACACAGCAGTGCAGAACAAGACACTCATGTTGAAATTTCGGTTTCTCATACTCCGCACGTTATCAGGCTGCAAGTTACTGAAACAAATACGCACTTAAACATTTGGACTTACGTATTGTAAGTTGCTAAGGCCGTGCCATAGCTCAGGATTCCCACCGCGGAGGCCCGGATTCGAGCCAAGGTTATGTGGGACTTTTGGTGGACAAAATAATACCGGGACAGGTTTTCTCCAAGTACTTCGAATTCAGCTGCTAATTCTCATCCCACCAACTGCTCCACAGTCATGATCATCTATCATCCGGGGCTGGCACAATAGGCCAAACAGTGGCAGACGTGACAAGTGGATTCAGTCTTACCCCACCCCAAGAAACCAAAAAAAGAAGAAAGAAGTTAGGTGGTAAAAGTGTTGAATTCAATACCATTGTATTCACATTATTCCCTTAAATGTTTGGCGTCGAGTACCAGTAAATTTCTTAACAAGCTTCATATTATGAAATCCCGGATGGTTTATGCAATAAGGGACTTAGCTACGCGTTGGATAACCCCACGGCATCCTGGCCGGCTTTGGGTTCGACCCGCTTCATATCATGCACGTACTGTGAAATCATTCTCTTGGGATTAGCTGGCTAAAGCAATAACTTAACAAGTATGTTCCGTCTAACTCTGAGGTTCAGAGAACATTGAGTTTGCCCTCAAGTCTCTTAGATTCTTCGTGGCTTAATATCCAAGCACGTGGGAAATTTCGACTTCGCTTTACTTTATTAAGGCACAGTAAACTATGTGTAATACTACTGTACTGAAATAGGCATAGGCAAGAAATTTAAGGTACGTAATACGAGGTGATTCTTTAAACGAAGACGGCATCTGGCATGTTATTAATGTCGTGTATTAGAGGGGCTAGTTGGGGAAAACGTAAGTCTCTTGGTCGGTATGGTTCGCTTGCGGACTAAAACCACGGAATTTGTTTGTTTTTTGTTTTATTAGAAGGCTAGGACCAGTGTGGCAAAACTCATATGCACAACATCGCCATTTTTAAAACGAGAAATTTATTCAGAATAAAATGTTTATAGTATATCTTGGTACAAAACGTTCTGAAAGTGTGCACCAGCGAGTCATATACGTAACCGAGCAGACCCTGACTGCAGCGCCATGGGTGAAATTTTGGGAGTGACGTTGCATACTGTCGCGTGAAAGAGTTTTGCGTGAATTGTAGACGGTTTTTGATTGGATGATTGGATTTATTGACACCTTATACACACAACTTGAGACTACAGCGCTATCACTGATCTACACAATTTACAGTTCACCGTTACACACACACTACGGTTCTCAGTCATCATTAGTCGTATCCTGGCAACGGATTTATAACTGTCTCACTGTAATTTCAAATTACACATGAAGTCTTCTTTTCACAGCCTAATTCCCTTCTTGTCATTATTCTGCAACTGCCAATTCCGAAGACTCGACTCAAATTCGTCTGCTCTCAAATTCACATCTCGGCAGGCTGGCGTCTCGAAACTCGACACAGTTCTTCTCAAATGAACTCTTTATAACGTTTCACGGACCACGCAGATTGTTGTTGTTTGCGTATTCGGTGCCGCGGGAATCGACGAAGAAACTGATACTACATAATTGACGCCGATACAAGCATGAACCAGCTTATTTCCTAACTAGGGCAAGAGAATAAATATGTCTGTCTCGGAATGAAACATACTCCTGTTAAGGAGCAGAGAAAGGTTTCCCAGCGGTGATATAAAGAGTTATATCTATTGGCATATAACGTCGTGCAGGCCGTCGAAAGTGAGAGGAAGATTTCGCCGCCATTTTGAGGATTCAAGAGTAGGCCAAGCAAGAAACCAACATGAAGCAGGCAGCAAGTAAGGCTGCGGTATGTTATTTCGAAAAGTCGCATGACTTTCAACGGGCTACATGACGAAGTAGCTTAGTCAGTACAGAGACGTGCTACGGGCTGGACGACCAGGGTTCGACTCCGGACAAGAGCAAGAGAGTTTCGTCTACTCCATAGCTTCAAGACCAACTCTGGGACCCACCCAGCCTCCTGTCCAGTGGGTACTTCGTGTTCTTTCCTGGGAATTAAACCGGACGGGACATGAAACTGAGCATTCATTTCGATATGACTCAGAGGTCAAAAATGGTGGAGCGATATCTCCTCTCCCCAATATATCTGATGGCTTGGGACAACGACGTTATCTCCAAGAAGATGGAAATCTGCTCTTATTAAATTTATTTTCAATTCAGTCTTGAGTGTCGTGTACAGTTCAGAGTAAAGAGCGCGAAACGTGGGCTGTTTTACCTTATGGAGAGCCGTAGCAATGAGGAGCAGTATCAGGATGCCGCAGATGACGGCCAGCACTATGATCCACGTAGCTACACTGCCTTCGGGTATCGTCCCAAGGAACCTAGTGTGCACATCTGCGTAGTCTGGTCTGTAAGTGAAGAAAAGTGTAATAAAAACTAGCACTGAAAGAGGCCGTGGAGGCCCATAGCTCTCTGAGACATCGAGGCTCCAACATTTTCTAGACAATCGGTTCACAGATGGTGATTAATTCTTACGCGCTGCTGCCATTTGCACACAGGAAGATCCCTGGTACTCATTTCTATTAGAGGATGAGTCTACCCCAGGGACATAGTGCGACTGGAAGGATTAGGTCGCTCGAGAAATGAAATGAATTCATCGGGAATTGAAGCCGCGATCTTGCGGCTTGTAGCAGGAAGGAATATATTTCTGATATTCTAAATTGCTATCGCCTATTGCAGTAAGTTATGATAGTCTGTCTAGCAGCGATTGAGCACAGAAACAAGACAGAAAGATCGCCCAGCATGACCGCTAGCCTTGCTGGGATCTGGATAAGTTGCATCCACAATACAAACCTACAAAATTGTCACTAAGCAAATCTGATAATTTCGTAATGTTATATTTCAGCATCCCACTGCATTGGTTAACACGCTCAGAAGGTCCCACCATATATTTCTATCCTAAGCCAGTTGAATTCAACATTGATCCTCACAAAACACAATATATGAAGTATTCTTAATATTACTCACCTTCTTGTGTGTCATAAGAACACAATATGGGTCCATATTGAAATTTGATGTAATTCGAGAACTAGGGTTAGTGTCAATGTACGCCTCATGATGGCCCAATATAAGGACAGAAACTCGTAGCGTCAACAGCGAAATAAAACAAATGTTGATACGATAGTGTCTTTTCTGTTTTTCACGAATATTGTTGTGTACACTGCCCCATTATACACATATGTCTTATATATGAAGTACTCACTTGTGCCCCTGAGGTTGTAGAGCGTCCGGTGGATCTCTGATTGTTACAGTCCCCATTGAAGAAAACAATATTATGTCTTTCATTTGTAGCTGCGATTCTGAAATAAAATTAAGTAGCCTATAAAGCATTTTGTACATAGATACAAGCGGGAAAATACAGTTTACGTTTAAAATCAAAATTTATAATATCTAAAACACCAAACTCAGCGTAATACATGAGTAATTAAATTAGTTTAATAAATATTTAACGTAATTCCGAGCAAGTTACATTAAAAAAGTACTACTTTCTGTAACATAACGCCTTGTAGTCTGCTGTAAGTCAACCGACGTTTCGGAAGAACATATCGATCTTCGTTTTCATGGTCTAATATGCCGAACAAAATAGCGTGAAAGCAAGCCGATCTTTCCACCAGATTTCACGCTGGTATTTTGCTCGGCTTATTTGGCCATGAAAATGGAAGTGATATGTTCCTCCGAACCCTCGGTTGGCTTTCAACGGACTTTATGACGTTACATCCAAAAAGATAGTACACTTCATAATCACTGCTGTGAGCCTACAAATTATATTCAGTTGTTTTTATGGCGGAAGAGGCGCTGACAGGACCTACCGTTCAATACAACCAGAAATACGTGTAAATCCCATTCTGTATGTATGTTTATGTTTGTTTCTATTTCATTCTATACGCCAAGATGACGCCAATCAAACTGGTCCTCAATGGCAAAGAATAGGATGTAATTTTGCGGACACTGGCAGTCACTATGGATAGATCATAAATGGAAAAATTTTACTAGAGAAAATATAGGAACGTAAATCTGCTTAATTTTTAAATGAAACATATTACGAAGTAATACGTTAAATATAAATCCTTTCAAGTTCTTCAGTACTCCAGATGAAGTTATATGTACATCAACATAACGGTTACTTTGGGCAGCATTCAAGTTTCCGATACAAACCGTTTAAAATGCAACAAATCATCAGATTCGCCACTTAAAGTGTTTCAGCCAGCAAAAACGTTGTGTGGGACGTTTCGCATGTAATTTCTTTATATTTCATTTCATGTCCTAGATCAGTGTTTTCCAACCACCGGGCCGCGGCCCAGTACCGGGCCCTGGCATCAATTATACTGGGCCCTCGTCTTATACGTAGAAAAAAGAATTTACTGAGCCGCGGTCTCACAAAAGTTGAGAACCACTCTTCTAGACTGAACTGCTCAAAAACAGGGAGCGTTAATGAGCATTTGTGAAAGCGGCAATGAACTTTCCGTTTCTTTAAGAAAGCATTTTGTTTACTGGCAGTTTAGAGTCTGTCCGCTGTTTAAGATAGACCTTGTTGCAATGTATATGGAATGGAACGATACGTAAATGCTTGAATGAGTTAGCTATCAACTACCCAGTAAGCTTAAGATTTACCCAGAACTACGAAGTCAGGTCTGAGCTGGAAGTTAATTACTGCTTGAGTCTTGTTGGGTAAGAAAGGACCTCCAGAACATTTCACCGTGAAGCAATCCACTTTCGGATCTGTGCAGTTCAGGAACAAAGTCCTCTTTGACGGAGGCATACTGAAGTTGGAAGTTGATGGCGCATCATCTGGTACAGAGACTTTTGGCATGGAATCGGCGAAATTCTCTTCTCGGTTTTCGGTATTGGAGACAGAACGTTTCGATAGAGATGGGGGTCTTCTATTGCTCAGCTGATAAAAGTCATCATCGGGTCCTTCACCATCCGACAAATTGGGGTCAATCGTGGGAATTTCACTGGAAGGATTCCAGAAGCTAAACCCCATCACAGGTGTGCACATGATGCTTGCAGAAGTCTGCAACTAAAGAAGTTTAACAGGAATTTATTAAAAAGTTTGCAATATTAATGCAATTATTCTGTACTTACGGGCTGAGCGAGGGCAAACATAACGGCGGCACAATTTTCCATCGCATATAGCAGCTATAGCTTGTAGCTGATCACGCACCTCTATTGAACGTTGAGATTATGAATGGGTATTGTTATATGTATATCCATTGCTAGGCAACGGGTCGGTAAACAATTTCCCGCCAAGAGAGATCCTAGGTAAACACTCCGTTGCTAAGTTACGCAACGATTCTGACAACAGAAGAAATGTTTTCAGAGTGGTCAGCGCCATGCCCAGTGCTAAGCAACTGAACTGTAAACACGTCTATAATAATGAGTGTTTTCTATGGTGTCCGTGCCGAAGGTTTATAGGGGACATTGAAGGTCGTTTGCAGTCAGTCATAACTGAGAAGCCATGAGACAAGGACATGAAGCCGTCACGGAAAGGAGTTGTGAGGATTCAGCTGTGAAGTGTTAACAGATATTGAAGAAATGATGTGCTATAGCTACAGTAATCTTGAGAGTGTAAAAACTAATTGTAGTTACGACTAGTGAAGATCCAATGAACCTATTCACTAATCCAAACAGGCGTCTTAATTACTGATACACGTGATAGTAAAATTTTCCTTCAGCTCTTGATACATATGCAGGCAAGGCGAGGTCAAGACACGGGGGCAGATATACCTTTATCGTTTTACTTCATTCTGTTGTTATGAGAGCTGTCTCGACGACATTAGTAAGTGATGGAAATAATTTGGATTAAAACACGCGATAAAGCATAGCTGCTAGATGGCATGAAGCAACGCACCTTCATCGAATGTCTACATTAGGAATGAGTATAATTATCCTCCAGCCCTTCGTATTTGTCTAGGCAACGTGCGATTAAGACACTGGAAAAAGTGGCTTTTTTTATTTTAAATTTACCTAATCCTTCCAGCCGCATTATGGCACTGGTGTCGACTCAGCCTCTAACAAAAATGAGTACCAGGAAACTTCCTGGGAGATAAAGGGCGGCCGCCGCGTAAGGCTGACAAACTTACCGCCATCTAGGAGCAGATTATCTAGAGAAAATGTGGGAGGTTAGAAGTCTCACAACCCTATGGGCCTCCACGGCCTGTTACAGGGACACCTTTATCTTCGTACATTTTATACAGCTCTATCTTATCAACACACGACATTTTAAGTGATCTTAATTTATTTTAACTAAGTGGTTTTAATATAGTCTGTATAGAGACTAGCTGCGGGCTGGGTGACTCAGAGATGGCAGTTCGAGTCCCAGTAGGGTGAAGAAATCTTCTCCCCGTCGTCCAGGCCGGCTCTGGGGTACATCCGACCTCATATCCACTGGGAACCAATTGTAAAGCGGCCGGGGCGTGAAGCTGACCACTCACCTCCAGCTGCTGTCGAGGTGGAAAAAAAAATGTGGATTTATGTATCCACTCCTCCATACGCCTTCATGGAATAGTGGCTAATTAGCTAAGCGCAGGGACGACTTTACTTTTTACTTGGTTTTAACATTCACGCCTCTCACTAGTGCCTTGAATGATAGTGTAGTATTTTATTACGTAAAATACTTCCTTGATAATGTAGAAACTGAAGTTCTCACATTTGTAGCTAGATAGGCTTCTATCTTCTGGGCTACGTCATACAGTCCTTTGAAATACAGCTGACGCTTCGAGAGAATATTTCGCCTCATCTTCAGTGTCGAAGAATAAGCGAATCAGAACTTCCTACCCAGTTCATCTTGGTTTCTGCCTTGTATTATTTTTCCACCCTGACTATTCAGGCAACTATTCTTCGGAAACGTCGGTTGGTTTCCAACGGACTACACATCGTTGTATCGCAAAGGACAGAACTATTTACTTCGTTCATAATGTTGGTTTGCCTCTTAATCATGGCCGCTAGTGGCAGCAACATGCAAGAAGGGTTCTGGCAACGGTGTGTGACACACGGGATTACTGAGCGTTTGGACTTTGTCCAACATCAGATGTCCTATAGGACACTAAGAAAACAGTACGTTTCGAAAACTGGATCTATTTCTGTCTCCAGGAAATGGGGCGGGTTGCAATTACTCTCTTGGAGCCATTAGTGACTGGGGTTAGCTCTTTCTAAAGAACCTAGACGGTATGCGTCTCTCATCCTCTCACGCGAAGATGGAAACAGATGCCGGTTCAGAAACGCTGTGTTCAGAATATTGGAAGATGATAGAGTTCAAACACACAGTAATCCGAATATTTTATTTACTTCATTATTAAAATAGTTCCACTTGACGAGACTCCACTTCTTATACATTATATGTTTTTATAAAACCCGAAGATTCGTCGCCAAGGCCGTCACGGGGCGCCTTTTTGAGCACCCCTAATAAAGACCACAGTTTTATAAAATATTCTCTAAGGTCCCTTTGAATCATTCTCTATGGCCACCACTGCCCAGCTTATCCTTCTAAATCGATATTTATAAACACCTCCAAATTTTTATTCGATGCTGTACAATTTTCATCATTTGATATGAGAGTGATTTAATGTAATGTGAACTGAGATTAAACAAGATCAACCACAACACAGAGATTCTCAGGAAACTACGGCACCACCTCAGTAACCAACCTCTCAATATTTTCTCTAAGTTGATCCTTAAACTATATAAATTAAAGGTTTTTCGCAATCTGTAAATGAACATAAATCATATGATACTCGTATATGTTGCCATTCTATCACTATCCTAATTCGAATGTGAGTGGTTACTCTGCTGTTGACTAAGCAATAAATTGTAGGTAAGACTGAGTTTGAGGGCGCGCCATAGCTCAAGTTATTAGTAGTTGGCTTCCCACAGCGGCAGCCCGGGTTCAATCCCGGGTCTGGTCAAGTGAGATTTGTGGTGGATAAAGTGGCGCTGGGGCGGGTTTTCTCCGGGTTCTTCGGTTTCCCTTGCCAATCTTCATTAAACCAAATTCTCCATCATCATAATCACCCGGCTACAATAGGCCAATCAGTGGTCGCCGTGCCGAGTGGACCCAGCTGGACTCCACCCCCCACTAAGGAATTAAAAAAAGACTGAGTTCGAATCCTGTTACTCTACATGCTGTAATAATATTATGTAAATTTTAACAAATCTGTGTTGTATCCAATATAATATTTCAAAGAAAATGTAAGATTTCTTTTCCAAGAAACATTAAGTTATGCCATCTTTACAACTGTCATTTCTCCAAATTTACGTTTTAAATTTTCACAGTTAAACAGAATAATCCTTTTTCTCACTCTATCTCTATCTCTTGCGTGTGCAGTCATACAAATGTACGAAAATTTATATACCTCTGAATGTCTACTACTAGGGCTTTTTTTTTATAAATTCTTTTAACTGAAAGAAAATGAATACATTACTTTTATTCTGATACGTCCTCCCTGCAGTATCTATTAACTCGGTTACAACCTTTTCTACGGAAAGGAAAAACTATGACCATTTAACGTAGTGGCCAGTTGTAATGGTCTAGACCAGGGGTCTCCAAACTTTTCGAACCGCGGGCCACATTAGGTATTTCAGCACTTTCAATGGGCCAGATAAAATGAGAAATTAATAACTCTAGGTATATGAGTTTTATTGAAAGCACAGAATTTTATAAACTAAATACAAAGTACGTGAGAATAAATTATCGTATATTAATGACAACAGACAGTAGCAGCAAATGCTCATATTTTCATCACAAATTATAATAAAACAATTAATGTGAATGATGGAACTCTTTTTGCATTCTTAAAATCTGATTAAATTGAGGTTCAAATTTTGAAAGGCTAATCACAAGTAGCGACTTCCAATGTTCATCGGAAAAAATTGCCCTGTATTTCGACTTGATGTACTTCATCCGGGAAAAAGTTTGTTCATACAGATATGTCGTCCCAAAAATGGAGATAAATTTACAGGCAAATTTCTTTAAATTTGGAAATTGCTCAGATTTCAGAAATTTATAAAATTCGGTCAAATTTCTTTCCTTGTATTTGTCTTTAATATGATAATTTTCCTGAAGTTCAATAATTTCCATTTGAATTTGACTTGGGACATCTGCAGCATCACAGTCAAACGGATTTTGAAACAATTCAATTTCCTGAGCACTGGAATCCAAATCAGGAATTCGCTTCCGAAATTGTTCCTTCAAATCTGAAATGACCAAATTTGCAAATGAGGAAGGAAATTCTGCTTCATCCTTTTTATGCAACTCTGCACAGTATAGCATATGAACATCATCATCATCAGTAATCTGTCAAGACGACAGGTCCACAGTCTCTTCCAAAACAATTCCTCCACTTAATGCGATCTAGAGCTTTCTCCTTCAAATGACAATATCCTCTTCTGTCCCCAAGGTCATCCAGCATCTTCTTACGTCTTCTTCCTCGTCTTCTTGTCACTTCTATCCGCCCCTCTATCTTTCCTTCGATAACTTCTTTTAGAAGGCAGTTTCTGCGTAAAACATGACCAATCCAATTAGCCTTCCATTTTCTTATTTCATGTAGGATATTCCTCTGCTCACTGACTCTAATTAACACTTCTTCATTTCTCACATAATCGGTCCAACTGATCTTCTCCATCCTTCTCCAACACCACATTTCAAAACTTTCCAGATGTTTCTGATCTACTGCCCTAAGTGTCCATGTTTCAGCCCCATACAGAGCTATGCTCCAAATGTAGCATTTCACTAGTTTCTTCCTCAAATTTAAGTCCAATTTGCTGGTAAAAAGATTCTTCTTCTTGCTAAATGCAGCTTTTGCCATGGCAATCCTGGATTTAATTTCACAAGTACACCTTCCATCATCTGTTAACAAGCTACCCAAATATTTAAAACATTTCACATTCTCCACTTGTTTTTGGTCTATCTTTATTGTGACTGGGGTTGGTTGTCTCGAAATTTTCATTACTTTTGTTTTCTCCACATTCATTTCCATGCCATAGCACCTTCCAATTTCAATTAGTCTATCAATCATGCCCTGTAGCACAGTTTCTTCCTTAGCCATTAACACAAGGTCATCTGCATATTTCACAGTTTGAATAATTTGCCCTCCTACTTTGAAGTCACCGAGCCCATCCAGAGCTTCCTTGGTAAGGCATTCGCTGTACAAGTTGAACAGAATTGGTGATAAACAGCATCCTTGTCGAACTCCTCTTCCAATCTGCACACTTCCTGTCTCCCCCCTGTCCAGTCGTACTCTAACTTTCTGATCCATGTACAATTTGCTAATCAATCTTCTTTCATGCCAATCGATACCTGTTTCTTTCAGGATCTGCATTAATTTGGTCCAGTTTACCCGGTCAAATGCCTTCTGCCAGTCTATGAAGCAAACACACAGTTCTTCATCTATCTCCAAAGTTCGTTCCGCTATAATTCTCATCATCCCAATTGCATCCCTGGTTCCTTTTCCTCTTCTAAATCCAAACTGATCTTCTCCAAGTACATCCTCTATTTTCCTTTCAATTCTTCTTTTAAGTATCTTTGCTATTATCTTTGCTGTATGTGCAATAAGACTTATTGTGCGATGGTCGCTGCATTTTGTAGCTTTTGTCTTTTTCTTTAAGGCAATCATTGTAACTTCTGTAAAGTCCTTGGGCCACTCTCCACTTTCATATATGGTGTTCATTAGTTTTGTCAGTGTTTTCAAACCACCTTCTCCCAGTAACTTGAGCACATCTCCAGGTACATCATCATCTCCTGTAGCCTTTCCCTTCCTCATTTCCTTGATAGCTTTTTCCACCTCACTTTGTAAAATATATGGTCCTTTCTCGTCTGTATCTACTTCTTCTTCCGGTTCAACTTCTAAGGTTTCTGGCCGATTAGGTCGATCATATAGTTCTGAAATATAATTTTCCCAAATTTTCAGCACTTGCCTCTGATCTACTATTCTATTCCCCTGGGAGTCTTCGATGCCAACATTTTGAATCCCATGATTCTCTTTCCATCCTAGTTCTTTTGTCTTCATGTACATCAAATCATAACGGCCTGTTCTTTGAAATTCCATAATCTCATTACATATCTTCTCAAGATATTCCTTTTTGGCCCTGTCCGTGGCTCTTTTCAATTCATTCCTCAGTCTCCTGTATTTCCTCCTGCCTTCTTCATTGTTGACATTCTTCCATTTCCTTCGCTCCTCCATTTTACTCATCATCTCCTGTGTAACCCATGGTTTTCTTGCTATCTTCTCAACTTTACCTACCAAATCACTGATAGTATCTAACATGCATTCTTTTATATCGTTCCACTGCGCTTCAGCATTTCCGCTTTCACCTTCAATTGCACCGAGTTTCTCTTCTAGAGTCTCTTGCACGCTTTGTCTTTGAGCATATAACTTCTCCAAATCCCATCTGGGTCTGCGCTTTCGAAATCCTATAATTTTCTTCAACCTGGTTCGGAACTTGGCAACCAGCAAGTTGTGGTCAGAGTCAATGTCTGCCCCAGGAAGCGTCTTCACATCCTTCACACTGTTTCTGAATCGATGTTTCACAAGGATGTAGTCCAGCTGATGCCTCTTCCAATCCCCAGGTGCCTTCCATGTGTAAATTCTTCTCTTTGGCTTCTTGAACCAAGTGTTGGTAACAATCAATCCATTTCGTTCACAAAAGTCAATAAGCATTTGACCTCTGTGATTCCGTCTTCCTAGTCCATGTGATCCAACAATATTCTGATATGGTTCATCTCCAACAATGCTGTTCCAGTCTCCCAATATGATGCTGTTTGTGTCTCCTCTTCCATCTTCCTGAAGAATTTCTTCAATTGTGTCATACACTTTTTCCACTTCATCATCTTCATACTCTGATGTTGGCATGTACACTTGTATAATCAGTATATCTACCGGTTCCGCCTTTAACTTCAGAGCAATAATTCTGTCATTACAAGCAATCTTCTTAACAACACTCCTCACTACACTTTTATGCACCACTATTGCCACACCTCTTTCGGCCCGTTCACCTCCAGAATAATACACTGTATAATCACCACTTCTTATTTCACCTTGTCCTTTCCACTGCACTTCGCTGACACCTAAAACAGACACCTCATTCTTCTGCATTTCCGTTTTCAAACTCTCCAATTTGCCTGCTTGATTCAAGGTCCTTACATTCCATGTTCCAATCTTGTAGCCATGATGTTCCTTCTGATCTTCGCACTTTTTCTTGTTGTAACGGCTGCATGACATTTCCTCTAGAAACACTCCTCCCCCCCGGAGATAGCATATGAACGAAGTTACAATTTTTCACTTGGCTTTCCAGAAGTATCAACTTTGCTCTGAATGCCTTGATAAGTGCAAATAAATCACAGAGTAAGTTATGTTCACCCTGCAACTTTAAATTCAAATGGTTCACCAGATCAGCAAAAAATGCTAATTTCGAAAGCCACTCTGTATCTGATAAAAGTGGTTCGTGATGGTTTTTCTCGGTAAGAAATATATCAGTTTCATTCCTGAGCTGAAAGAAGAGCGAAAGAACCTTTCCACAGCTAAGCCATCGAACTGCAGTATAATATGTCATGTCAATAAGCTCGGAATCACATTTACCAGTACTCACTGAAAAATTAGTTCAATTGGCGCATTTCTGCACAATTCTTTCGTGGGCCGGATAAAATCACATCGCGAGTCGCATGTGGTCCGCGGGCCGTAGTTTGGATACCCTAGGTCTAGACTTACGTTCGGGAGGTAACGTATTGGAATTTTGGCCGGGACACCGGGTACCATGTGACTTTGCTTTACCCCAGTCCCTCCAGGCAAATCCTGGGATGGTGCCTCCTATAGAATCCCTATAGTCAACCATTCTTCTATTGCCCAGCAGTTGACACTATAATTTAGCCACTGAGAACATCGTAAAATGACCCACAAGAAACTGATAGGTGTTTATAATGATTCACACATACCTTGTTGGAAGATGTCAAGATAATACAGATTACGGCTAAAACCTTAACAAATCTCGTAATACATATATATATACACGCTGAGAGCAATTAAACAAGAAACAAACTCCGTGACCTGTAGTCCGCAAGGGAACTATAGTGACCGAGCGACCGCCGCTTGTCGGCGAAGTCAGTGTGGATAGAGGTGTCGCGTGGTCAGCGCAACGAATCCTCACGGCCGTTAATCGCGATTTTCTTGACCGGAGCCGCTATTTCCTTGAAATAGCTCCTCAATTATCCTCACGAGGATGAGTGGACCCCGTTCCAGACACACTGATTCTCAGAAAATCTGGTAGCGCCGGGAATGAAACCCGACCTCTGGATCTGTAGCCAGGAACTCTGACCACTAGACCACAGAGGCGGTCACTGACAGCAATTAGTCTAACAAAATATAGTCATTGTAAGTCTCGATATTAAAATGTATCTTGACACTGACTCACATAAACAATACAATAAAGTATACTTTTAAAACAATAAATGAATACTTCGTAGAACGGAAGTGTAATTTAAATTATCAAAGAGGTGAACTCACCTGGGGCTCTAAAACCCTCATAAAGATTTCTTGTGTCGGTGGCAAAACATATTGATGTGGAATCTGAAACTCAATCTCCGCTGTCTCCACGGTACTTGGTCCCGAGTTCCACACCTGACCGCAAAAGAAATCCTAGTTAATACTTTCCATTTTCGGAAATTTTGTGAGGTGAACTGCTGTTGATCCTTAGTTAGATGTATATTTGTGCCACTTCGATTTTATCACTTTATTTAGAGTGGTGTTTTAATGGTGCTGGTGTATGGAACTGGCAGGGCATACTACTATTAAACAGGGTATTTCAAAAGTATTTTAATCACCGCTTTTTCACATAAGACATAATTAAACTTGTAAACAATTTGATGTCTTGAATATCAAAGGACAATGTAAATGCAGTCGCTTTCTCGCTGTAGTGAAGCTCTGCAAATATTTTCCAAATTACCTGGAACGTATGGCTTAGCGTCAGATCCTTAATGTATGTGTTCCCCTTTGTCATATACACAATTTGATCCTGACTGGGTATCCTGGAATGAAAAGCAATTCACTTATTACGACCAGCAACAACAAAGTTATTCCAATAAACTGGAGAAAACATCAAATCTCATCATTTCCTAGAACCTACAATATCCTATAGGCTAATGTCACAAAAGTGTCTAAAACCAGGCATTTACATTGGCATCCATGTTTCTGTTTCACTTTAATTTCCTCAACAGTCGTAATGACCATGTAAAACCCCGTACCATGATCACAGAACCGTGGAAATGAGAGTAGTTCATGTAAATATGTTCCATTTTATATAATGTTCAGTTTGCGTTGAATGCAATGCTTGTAAGTATTACGTATATTTGTACGTTAAGACATGTATCAATGACAAAGTCAACCAAACGTTATAGACTAGGAATACTGCATAATATTTATGTTGTTATAATTTAATTCATAAAGCAATATTTCTCGTCTAAATTATATGTTTCTCCTTTTTGATCAAATCTAATTTTATCAGAAGTTCTAAAAGCAGAGAAAAGAATTAAGTAAAAAAAATTGCGTTTGAATGACACCTCCTGAAAGATTTACGTCAAATATTTCTGTTACAGAACTTCACATGCCCAGGCCGATCTCCTTTCTATAATAACGGGAAGAAACATGTAAACACTTGGGATGCGGGTTCGAGTATTACGTCTGGGACTTGATGCGCAAGATAATAATTCAATTCATTTTAATTCTTTAATATTTATATTCCGAGTCAACAGCGACAAGGCCAATTACAGACACAGCACAGTGCAGATACAAACACTACATAAAGTCAAAGACAAAATGAAGGCAAGCACTGGAGGAAAAACACATTAATAGTGAAAAGTAAACAAACAAACAAACGAACGAATATGAGGAGAGGTAACAACAACTACATAACACAGATCATTAGGATTTTGAACAAATACTATTAAAATTTAAGGTTAATTAGTATAAATGTAATTGAGAGAAACGGCTCCGACCGCAAATATGTCGAGATCTTTACCCACCGCGTTGGCAGCACAGACGCACCGAGCAGAAGGACAGTGTTTATTAGGGGGACAAACGTCAAATAAAGAAAGTCCATAAAAATGTTTGGAGGAATATGAAGGCTAACATTTTCCAAAAGGGAAGCTCAGGATTTAAGGCCATGATAGACCGGAACAAAAAAAAAGTGCATTAGGGTCACGTCTCCGTTTACGTAAAGATTGTAGACTTAATTTCTCTAAGACAACGGTATAAGTATATGGAACATGAGGGGAAAACAATAAAAATAGACGGACCCAAACTTCTACTAGATGCGCTCGAGCACCAATAATAATAATTCAATTCAATTCAATTCATGTTTATTTACGTGCAATAACTTAACAGCACAGTGGCCAATTACAAAGTCAGCACGAGTATATAAGGTACAGAAAATAATTAAAACAAAATACAAATATGACAAATAAATCTGTGAATATAAATCTAAAGAAGACTGAAATATATACATACATTTATGAAATATTACAAATGTTGCTAATAATGCTAGTAACTAAATACTAAGAGAAGACACCTGTGAGTGATAGCTTAAAATTAATAAAATTATTCAATTCAATTCAATTCATGTTTATTTACGTGCAATAACTTAACAGCACAGTGGCCAATTACAAAGTCAGCACGAGTATATAAGGTACAGAAAATAATTAAAACAAAATACAAATATGACAAATAAATCTGTGAATATAAATCTAAAGAAGACTGAAATATATACATACATTTATGAAATATTACAAATGTTGCTAATACTGCTAGTAACTAAATACTAAGATAAGACACCTGTGAGTGATAGCTTAAAATTAATAAAATTAATAACAAGTCAATAAATTAAAACCAATTACATAAGAAGATTAAAGTTAGCCGAGGTATACACATTTGTAGGGAATGAAAACACTAATCAAGTAACACCGTAAAAGTTTTGGTACATGCTTGTAAAATATGATTCAGAGAAACCGCTCCGTCTGCAAATATGTCGAGATCTTTACCCACCACGTTGGTAGTAAGGGCGCACCGAGAAGAGGGACAGTGTCTTTTTGAGGGACGAAAGCTAATAATAATAATCGGGACCAGTAAGTACCTGATAACTGACTTCAAGTAACGTCATGAAAGTACGAAATTAGTCACCAAGCCTTAGCACTGCAGGACCACCAACCTTATGTAGGCGGGCAGGTTGTTGTTATCAGTACCTACATTAGTAAAAACAGAATGGCTGGAGATTGAAGAATATTATAGAGAAACTCTGAAGGAAGAAGCATAGCAGATCGAAAGAAGTGGTGGCTGTCAATGGATGGGTTTCCTTTCTGTGGCCTCAGTACGCAACACACGATCAGTCTAAGCTGAAATCCGGTTTGAAGTCGCAGTACTCACCCAGCTATTGTCATATCCGCCTGGATCACAATTGGCAGTACCAACTCCTTATGATTATCGCTGGGGTTGTTGTCATTCCCAGCGCTTGTCACGTTCACTTTGAAGGTCAGGGTTTTCGTGCCGGCAGGTACATCCTTCATGCTCATCACCAGGTCCATCGTGTACTGAAACGCGAGGTGTCACGATAAGTCCATCCTGTGGAAACGGGTCTCTTCATTGCAGGAATGGGAATAGTTTTGTTAGGCAGTCGGGGGGGGGGGGTTATTTCGAAATCACCACATTTCACAGAACCTCACGAGAAAGAAAACTGTAGTTAAAACTGCTAAATGACAACCAATAATTGGCACTGCCATGTAAAATAATATACAAGAACAATATTATTAATGAGCAAGTCAGGCAGGATATTATGAATTTTGATTGGTGATCTCAAGGAGTTAGGGCATGCATTAAACCGAATCTAGATTGGGTCCTATACGTCTTCATCTTATACAGTTGTAGGTTTAAAAGGAAGGTAAAATTGTTCCTGTGCTTATCTAATTAAGCACTACGCTATGAATGCGTATGAGGGAGTGGATGTATAGATCCGCATTTTATTGGCCTCTGCAATAGCTGGGGATATTATTATTATTATTATTATTGGAGGGGGTGGGTTTCCCCATGCACCGCGACTAATAGTCTATTGTACGTCCCCTTTTGATATTCTACCAGTCGCCATACCCTGCCGGTACTGGTGCTCGCTATCAGACCCGTTCAGCCAGCGAGGCTGGCAGTGGTACCCGATAACTTCCCCATCTACTGGAGGCATGGAAACTACTTGGACGGGAAACGTTGCCTAATTTTGCTCAGAGGTCTCCTAGAGACATGAGGATCTTTTACGTGCCGTAAATCTACGACACGGAACCCACGGCTTAAACTCCCTCCAGGAGGACTTGTTCCCTGAATTTTTCCGCCCTTAAAAATTCCACGACCTCCGCCGGGATTAAACCCGCGTACCTTGAGTCATGAGGTGGGAACGTTACCCCTAGACTACGGAGGCCGCTTTAGTTGGGAATTAGTAGCCATCTTCACCCCCCTTCACCTTCACAACCGGTATCCCTTGGACAGGAGGCTGGGTGGACCCCAGAGGCGGTCTGGACGACAGGGACAAAATAAAATTCTTGATCCTACCGCGACTCGAACTTCAACCCCTCAGTCGCCCAGCCCGTAGCCAGTCGCTATATTGATTAAGCTTCTAGTTGTAGGTTTAGCAAATGAGTATTATAAAATCCTTAAAGAGGGTCCCTAAAGAATACAATTCACGTCAAAATGCAGGTTATGTAACTCGAAGTTAGTCGGAAACTAAAAATTCCGCAGCTTTTATCAGAAATGTTTCAGCAAACGTGTTGTCTAGAGTGAATTAGCAAATTATTTCATGAACACCAAGTCTGATGAGCTTCGCTCAGGCCCTTGGTAACTTCCATGAACAGAATTGTAGTGTCAGGCCATTGCCTTGGTATATTCCTATCCGTTCTGTCTCTTTTTATACTCCTTATAAAATGTTAAGATATCGATTAGAAATCGATTCGTCGCAACGAATGTGATGAATAGAATAATTACGTTTTTCTCCAAAGGATAACCAATATCGCACACGAGGACGTAAGTTTCCTTCCTGTCCTGATTTGACAAGTCATAGCAGATTGAAGGAATTTCGACAACCGGTGTGACCTTGGGAATGATCAGGTTGACACGCGTAAAGAAGGCCGGTTCTCCAATATTTTCCACCTCTAGTCTTATACCAAGAGTCTGCTTCTCTCCTAGAATGAATGTTTCCCTGTAACACAGTTGTCACATGTCAAGTATTACAAAAAATTACCGTTCTAGATTGAATCATAATATTATGAATCCTGTGCTGGGAATAAAACAAATTTCAGTCAGGATCGGTGATGATTCATTAGGCAAACGGTTCTAAGTAAATTACATAATTGCAATATTCATGAACGAAAAATGCAGAATCACAGCGCTGTTATTTAGATGCTCAAAAATATATCAGCATGTTCAATCGCTATAATATGACAATTTTAGGATTTGGAATGTTCGAGTATGAAAGAAGAGAGATTCAGAGATGCTCAAGAGTTATGAAGAAGTAATATTCCAGTAACTTCGATATATGGCCTGGCCATAGCTCAAGCGGTTAGTCGCTGGTTTCCCACCGAGGCGGCCGGGTTCGATCCCGGGTCTGGTCATGTGGGATTTGTGGTGGATAAAGTGGTGCTGGGGCGGGTTTTCTCCGAGTACTTCAGTTTCCCCTGACAATCTTCATTCTACCAAATTCTCCAACATCATAATCACCCGGGGCAGGCTACAATAGGCCAATCAGTGACCGCCGTGCTGAGTGGACCCAGTTGGACTCCACCCCCCACTAAGGGAATTAAAAAAGAAAATCTTCAATATATTTTCGCCGCAGATCAAGTATTTTTTTTCTGGCGGGAGCTGATACATATGTGGTACTGGAATTAGGATTTTGGAAAAAAAAAATGTTGTTCGTTTCGCTGTTTAAAAATATTATTTATGCACTGAGATTTTAACCACAGTCGTGAAGTTTTAATGGAAAATTTTCATTAATATTTTTAAAATTAATTGTTTAACGTAAGCTTAATAAAGAAATTATAAAACAGAATGCCGTCTTCTGCGATGGGGCGCCATGTAGATCTTGTGTGAACCGACGTTTCGGAGGAATGTATCGCCTCCATTTTCAGGGTAGATTTATCCTTAAGATGTAGGCGATACGCTCCTCCGAAACGTCTGTTCGCACAAGATCTACACCGCGCCACATCCCAGAAGACGGATTCTTCATAGTCACCGCTGTGAAAACCTCAAATCTTATATATTATAAACAAATTCGTTAACTCATTAACTCCATCGTGTAAAATTATTCGTAAGAAGCGAATAGCCGCTCAACTGACAAAGATATTACCGCCCACCCCCTTTTGAAGACTCCTTACAGAGTCTAGCAAACTCCGTGAAGTTTGACGTCCTATGTCATGTGTCGTTATATGGCAGCTGTTTAAGGTGGAGGTTTGTGGGTGTTCGCACAGTCCCTAAAGGAGGGAGGGAGCCATCTTCTCTTGTCTGCAGTCGGGATCTGCTTACTGAGACCATTGTATCTGGAAACCGCCTCTTACGTCCTTATCCTAAATTAAATGATTTGCGAAAGGTAAAAGTGAGGTTCGCCGGTCAGGGTAGCCGAGCGGTCTAAGACATGTACTGTCTTCGCTCGCTTGGAAACCGGGATCGTGGGTTCGAATCCCACTCAGGGCATGGATGTTTAGTTTGTGTGTGTGAGTTTTCCTGTGTTTGTGTACAGGCCTTGCTACGAGCTGATCACTCGCCCAAGGAGTCCTACCGAATGTGTAAGATCTAGAAAAACCGAAGTGAACGGAGAAGTTCATGGAGGTAGGCCTAGACCCACTGGGGCTGTAGTGCCAAGGGAAAAAATAGTGAGGTTCTTCCTGAGCTTAATTAAGCATAACATCATGAAGATATATGAGAAGTGGAGGTATAATTCCACTTGTCCTTAATCTCGACATCCAGATGTTAGTGAATGATCAGTTTCAGTGAGAAGAAAATCCCTGATAGCGACTGGATAGGAGATTAGATGGGCCCAGGGATAATCTGCATGCAGGAGAGAAGAAAAATATAAGTTGACTCTGAGGAATATCGAACCCAAGCTTCAAAGTCTAGGGAATTACCAACAAATTATTACTACTTTTTCATACTGGACTACATTAAATACTTACTCAATTCCCATAAACCTTGCATCAATTTTAATATCCGGTGTGCACACAAAACTTCTACAGCCGGTCTCAAAAGCGACCATTGTAGTTATGATAGTAGACTGAGCGCTGTCCAGTACAGGACATTCCATGCAGAACTCATCTGGAAGTGATTATTCTGAAATTATGTTCATGATATTGAAAGTTAAAAATTTAGTGTAATAATAATAATATAAATAAGTCTCTTCTCCTCAAATATATTTCTTCTTTTTTTATATAATTTCCTGACGTTGAATTCCGGATATTTTTGCTTCAAACAATCAACAGCCCTAATGAGTAAAAACAGACAGACCTGATATAATCTTGCGACAAAATATGATAAGCTTATACTTTTCTCATTTATAGTCTTCCAGCTTTTGTTATTGTCTCCGCTAAAGTCAGGCAATATCAACATCACTACAAATTTTCTTATGAACCCTCAGCAGTAACCGAAGGACAAAGATGTGGTTTTTTGAAGTTTCTTTCAGCTGCGTAACTTCGTAAATGTAACCGAAAGTGCAACAACCTTAGCCGCGAGCTTCCGAAGGAAATGAATACTCAAATTGCATTCACCGCTTGCTCTATGTATTTAAGTAACTTATACATATACAGTTTTTTCATATATACATATATGAAATAGAAAGAAAATCGATCAAATTGACACAAGCAATAACGCTTCCAATTTGCATTTTAGAGGTGCCCAGTACGAATCTCGACCAGGACAGCAACTATCTCCATTTATGTATTTCGTGGTTTTCCTCGGGCACTCAAGTTGAATTTCAAGATAGTACCACAATTTATACCACGATAGTTTACTTCCTCATCCCTCCGAATTTATTATTTAAGTTCATCTGACTTCAGCGTTTTATAATCTGACAGAACCGTTGAATCAACCATGAATATGAATGTGTTATATTTAAATAACTCTTATTAATATTATTATTAATAATAATACATTATATTCTATAGTGTTCCCAAAAATGAAATTTAGTTTAAATTTTTAAATGTAGTCCGTCGAAAACTCTAATACCTTTTAAACCATACGTTAAACAGGAAGCTATGTAACTTGTGCTTATCTTTTATTCCTTTTTCCTCTGTAAATGGGGAATGCAGAAATCAAGTGGGGAAAAACATTTATTGCACTATAACACGAATTTTTACGATGTTCTTATTCGTAAGCCCTGGACAGATACTGAGATAAGAAATGACCTGATGTACTGTTACTTAGAAAATTGTAAAACATATTGGCCTTACGTAGAATGAAACTGAGTTTAAATAAGAATTCCTTCAAGGCCAGAGAAGTGCATGACCCACCGTCCCACCCCCCTCAAGTCACACAAACCCATAGCATGCGTACGCAACCAAGAAAACTCGCTGTAATGATGAAAAATGGTTTCGAAGTGATTAATTCCGTTCCTTGGTTTCGTATCTATATATTCTGTATGCAGTGTATGTATGAAACGCGCAGTTTCCTTACTTCACAAAGTTTGTTCATTCTGCAACGTTTCTCATACTGCTCATACAAGAAGATGTTTGCAGAGAAACTGACAAAATAAAACTCCGAGGCTTTAGTCCGCAAGAAAATTGTACCGACCGAGCGACCGCCGCTTGTCGGCGAAATTAGTGCCAACTTTAGCGGATAGAAGGTGCCGTGTAGTCAGGGCAACGAATCTCCACGCCGTTAATTTAGGTTTTCTAGACCGGAGCGGCTATTTCCTTGAAATAACTCCTCAATTACCTTCACGAGGCTGAGTGGACCCCGTTCCAGACCCACTACTTCTCAGAATATTTGGTAGCGCCGGGAATCGAATCCCTGACCTCTGGATCTGTAACAAGAAACTGTGACCACTAGACCACAGAGGCGGTCGTTTGCAGAGTAAGAACTGATGAAATTGTGATTAGGTTGTTTCTCATGACGAAAAGTAACATTCCTTAGTTCTTTTATCTCAGTATCTTAAATATACTACATATCCCAGTGGTAGTTTGGCATGGATCCTGTAAGTCGGAATAGCCCATTGCCATCCAACGGCTAGCTAAAACACATTTCCGTGACAAGTTGGAATAGTTCATTGCTGAGCAACGGTTCAGTGAACACTTCCCTGTGGCAAAGAATAAACACAGAAAAACAGAATAATAGAGGAACTGAAAGACATAGTGAACTATATTCGGTTCACGTGGAAGTTAGTTCAGTCATAAGGGAGTCACAATTCGGTCATGAGAAGTTCAGTTTTGAGCTGCGGAGGGCTAACCAGGGAACAACATACCGACTCGTAAATCAGAACCAAGTCAGTCACGTAGAAGAGAAGACACTAGTAGTCCAGTAAGGAATGGAGCGAGTCTTAGGAAGCCATGGATTGTGAGCTGTTATAAGTGATTATAACTGTAATAGAACTGTCATTAAATCCAGACATTCCATCCAGAACACATTACTATTCGTCACGACAACCCCTCATATGTTACAGTATTCTAAGTTCAGTTATAATGTACACACTCACCTGCAGCACTGTCACGTGGTCCTCTTGGTTGAACCTTATTTGGATTGTTAGTTAATTCATAGGTCATCGCCAGAAGTAACGGCTCTGTTCTGTATACAATCTGCTGCTATTAAAGTAAAGATAAAGTATTTCAGTTTCAGAATCTGAAATGCAACTTCTGTCAATATAACTGATTACCTGTAATTAAGAGCTAAAATTGTGTGACGATGGTACATTAATACAAATATTAGTTTTTGGACATTATCCTTCGTCCTGTCTTCATCCATGACATTGCCCTGTTTATTTTTCAAAACGCAGTTTTTTGGAGATTGGATTCTGCCTCCGTCTTCAGGTAAAACCTACTCAGTTTGGCCCAATCAATAGAGCTAGTCCATATCTCCGCTTGTCCAGAAAATGTGAGAGCTCGATACCTCACAACTTTATGGGCCTCCACGGACTGTTACATTTCTAGCGTTACTTTTACGACCAGTTGCTATAGGATGGTGACTGAGCTATCCAATTTCACCTATGGTTTCTTATAATTTTCATCTGAGAAAATGAATAAAAAATTTAGGGGAGAAAATTGTATTAATTTTTGTGGGCTTAAAACATTAAATGAACTTCACCTAAGAGATTTGATTTAGAATGCAAAATGAAGTGCTTAGATTTTTCTGTACTGAAGAGCAAGAGTTTGAATTTTCCAAACGAATCAGTGAATCAGATTACAAGACGGTGTTATTCTGATATTAACTTACAGTATTTTGAACCCTCAAATCTTTGCACCACTGTTTCCCACGCCGGAGTGTAATATTGTAAGCATGCGTGTTGGTCCTTCTGAATTCGTTGGAGATAAAATTAGCTCTTCCGAACGACAAATCAACTTGCAACGTCACTTTAGCATCTGGTCAGAATAAAGAAAGACAGAACATAGTAATGAAGATAATTAGGTCTATTGACAAAGGTTGTATCATAAGATAAAAATATAATTAGCTTCAAGTTGCAATCTGTATTCCCAACAGAGCGGACAAAAATTTCATTGTAAAATGAGGCACCGGCCAAGCAATTAATATCAAATAATACTAAGCCTACACCACGGGGTCTCCAAGCAGTTTACTACATGTATACAAGCCATGAATATATCGCTATATGTCCGCTGGAATATAACAAAATTGCAACAGCTGACTTCATGATATGCAACATCACAAGAAGAGTTTTTAACCATATTTTAGTTCATAATTTTCTTTTTTTTAATAAGTTTATAATTCATTGTATTATTATACCTTGTATTTTATAATGCAACAACTATCAAGTATCCAGCCTTACTGTCACAATGAAATTGCAGTTCAATAGTGTGAGAATATAATAATCATGTGTTTTGCCTGATGATGGCTTTAAAAGCCGAAACATGTAGCTAAGGTAATGTTGACCATGACCGTTATGTTGTTGTGTTACGACGGACTCCAATAAAGAATTGTATAATTAGGTTCTGTTCTGATTTTATTTCACATGCTTACGTAATATCAGGGGTTTGACATTGAATAATCATAAATGTTGGGAAGGTCGAGAAATATGATTAAAATATTCAATTGTAAATCCCTGAATACATATACCAGAAGACACTGAAGAAAAATACTTTTATGTGCTCAATATTTTAAACAAGCTCGTGATCCTACATTATTCTAAATTAGACAAGATTTTGCAGATGCATTAGCTGACAACTAATTCCATGGAATAGAACCAATTTGAGAGACCAACAGTAGCTCACCTTTCCAATATATTCCGCCCCTCATGAAACCTGAAGTTTAATTACCGTGTTCCCTCACTTTGTTAACAAAATACAAGACGTGACTTACCCACGGTGTCTGGAACACTCCAGCCTGTGTACGAGAGACAGGATGTGCAGGAGAAATTGAAGGCCTTACGGCTGACGCTTCTGGTACTAGTGTTTAGTGTGGGTTTAAAGGTGATGATGGGATGACTCTTCAGCACAACAGCATGTCCCGATTTAAACGCTCCCACAGCAATATCTAAAAAGTGGAGGTATTCGGGTCATCGGTTTTGTTCTTTCAATAAATATTACTTTGCATTTAAATTCCTTGTTTCTGTAATCTACATGTAATGCATTGACCGCCTCTGTAGTCCAGTGGTCAGAGTTCCTGGCTACAGATCCAGAGGTCCGGGTTCGATTCCCAGCACTACAAGATTTCCTGAGAAATTGTGGGTCTGGAACGGGGTCCACTCAGCCTCGTGAGGATAACTGAGGAGCTACTTAAATGGAAAAGTAACGGCTCCGGTCTAGAAAACCGAGATGAACGGACATAGGGATTCGTTGTGCTGACCACGCAACACCCTCTATCCGCTAATGTTGGCACTAAGTTCGCCGACAAGCGACGGTTGCTCGGTCGGTACAGTTCGCTTACGGACTAAATCCACGAAGTTCTTTTTTAAATGTAATACATTTCCAACATTAGGGCCAAATTTTAGATAGACATTGAGCCGTCCTGTTCAATACGTATTACAGCCATTTATGTAATAAAGTTGGTACTGGCATACAAACGTCATAGAAGAAAGCTAACGAAGAAAGTGTTGAAAGGTGTTAGTCTTAAAAACTGTGCAGTAGTACTAAAAGTGTGATCATGAGTCTCATTCAGTTTCGGCGTGAGCAAATTAAAATGAAACGAATAATTACAGAAGTGTTAAACTTGTGCTGGTGTGTGAATATTTTAGAACAATAATTATATAGACATTAATGCGATTCTTTTAATTCCTTAAAGGCACAACGCTACAGCAAGAAGCGCATTCTGTTGAGGACACCGCGTGGTAAAGAAACAGAAGGAAAAGACAGTAGAGTATGACCCGCTGGCATCGAAAGTTTAAGGGAAATTTCGATACAGAAATTCGGTTTTTATAGGCTGATTCCTCAGAAAGTAATTTCTTTCTAGAAAAAGTACAAATACCCTTACATATAAATTATTTAGAATAAATACTGAATGTAAGATATTTGTTATAATAAATAGTGATGTAATTCTTTAGGACATAACATCGTTGCTGTTCAAAGGCAACTTGCATCTCTATTTAAGGAAACGTCACAAAAATGCATGAGCTAACGTTTCTACACATTGCTTGAAGCAGTTCTATATGTAGGAAAAATTATATCGACTATAAGTGCGACGATATTCTTAGAGTCTTGACGGATCTGAACCCCATAGGTTTTCTGCCAAGATATAGCCCTTATGGAGCCGTATCTGATATATTTCCATTTATTTCCTGGTAGGTTCTGCAGTCGAAGTGACTAATGGTGTCAGATGTAGCCTCTACATAAACATTGTATGATTTCGCCTTTAAATAGCAAGGAAATTAATAAAATGTTTCTAAAATTTATTCAGATACAGTCCGTTGAAATTAACAATAAACTGAAAATATCAAATTCTGTATGTTACAGGCTGATTCCAAAGAAAACCTTCCTCATTTTAAACAAAACGCTGCTAGTTCATTCGTGACATATTACATAACTTTTATTCATAAGATGTAATACTGCCCGAGTGTTCTATGCTATAGTAAATCTTAAACTGCCTAATTTTAGCTTTTCACTGAATGGTACAAAACGTTTCTTATACTCGTATATAAGAGCGAGCGAGAGAGAGAAATAGACTGGATTCAGGTGGTTTAGGGCAGGACCAATAGAGGATTATTGGCTTTCGGCATTAAATTTACTTTCTGAATTTGTGAAATAAGGTCAATCCCTTTGGGTCGGAAAATATTGAGAATTTATTGTGTGAAATTTGAAAGTTAATACTGAAGAAATGACCTAACTTATGTAAGGTTTAAATGAAATAACGAAGAAAATAGAATCAGTAAAATTTACCATCGAATTTACTGATTGAAATGCACAAGTTTTAGTACCCGTCGTGAGTGATCGAAATATAATATTTCAAGTCATATGGAGAACGACGGTTAATGGTATTAAACAGAGATGAAGACTTTGCTTATTTGTCAGACCTACCTAAGACGATTAATGAAAAAGATATATGACAGCTTTATTTTCGCGTGAGGAGTTGGACAAAGAATGGGTCTGATTGGTTTTCAAAGTATTTATAAGAATAAAAATATGTATTCCAATTTATATTGTGTATGCATATCTTCTGAAAGCGTTCCTTTCGATACGCAAATCCAGTTGATGACATTTTTTTTGCAGATATGCAATTGTTACAAAGCCAATTAACATTAAGATCTATTTTATTGCGGGGCACGGTGTAGTATACATACATACATACATACATACATACATACATACATACATGTAGCTGGTTGAAGCACTATGTTAAAAGCCAGAAGATCTCGGATTCGAATCCCTACCAGGTAATTGGATTTGTCAATTGACCTATTACTTCCAGCCTCACTATGGTCCTGGGATCGACTCAGCCTCTAAGAGAAATGAGTGCTAGAATTCTTCCTGGGTAGTAAAGTGCGGCCGGCGCGTAAGGCTGACAGCCTCACTGCCATCTGTGGGCCGATTGTATAGAAAATGTGGGCGCCTCGACGTCTCACAACCTTATGGGCCTTCACGGCCTGCTACAGGGACAGCTTTACCTTACCTTTAAATTTTTATCTATTTTATTACATGTGAATGATATTACAAATATTTTAGTTGAAATTCATTGGGTATATATATTTTACGATATCTGCAATCATTTTCTGTCATGTGAAATGATGTGAAATTCATGAAAATCAATATGTTACGTAAAATTTGTGTTGTATGAGAGCAGTATAGAACAAATTTAATTCTCCAGACAACTGTTAGAGTAGGTTCCCAGTCCAAAGTCATATAATTTCTTTGTGTGATTCTGAAAATGAAGACAGTAGGAAATATGAAAGGATCCAATTTTCTTATCATGCTTTCACTTCCTGCATGTCTTACAGCGAATATGTTATAATATTTAAATATAGTGATTTCCTGGAAAACAAAAATTCTATGAAGACTAGCAGTTTTACCACAGTGTAATTTCAAGAGGTTCTTCCTGAGTGGTACCTGTTCATCAAATCATCAGATTTCGTCTCTGTTTCATATTTCTATCGCCAATTACACCTATTCACGTACCGTTGTAATGGTTTCCATCTACATCTGCACCTTTCGACAAGCTAATTCCGAAGCCCTTAATTTGCGGGTCGATGTTTTCCGCTTGTATAATCTGTGCTGGTTCGTATTTGATACCGTCCACACTTCCGTGATAGATATACACAACGCCATTTCCTTCATAAGGCGCACCCACTGCAATGTCTGCAAAAGAAAACAGCTTCAGTACAGTTCTTAGAGCTGCTGACAGAGGTCGCTTGTTATAAGAAATCATTTTCAAACAATATAGCAATAATTAGGAAGAGAGAACCTATATTTTAAATCTTGTTCATTTTTTGTTTCACTTGTTGTTGCCTTTGCATTTAGGTACTTGTCCTAGTACTGTTTCTAGCCATGTGGCTAAGGCAGAGCTAGGGATCTATATTTTCACTAGAATACCTAACAAACAACAAGGAGACGAGCCCTTCTTGAGAAGCGGTCACTTGTGCAGCTACTCGAGAATTTTCCCAAATTCTAAGAAAACCGAAGGTTCATTTTCGTGTTCGCATGAGCCCTTCACTGGTCTCTATCCTGAGCCAGAGCAATATAGTCCATACCATACCATTATATCTCTCTGAGATCCATTTTAATATTACCCCTGCACCTACGTCTAAGTCTTCCTTATGGTCTCTTTCCTTCTGGCTTTCCCACCGGTATTCTACATGCACTCCGCTTCCCCCCCTTCGTGCTATATGCCCTGCTCATCCCATTTTCCTTGACCTGATCATTCTCATTATATGTGGCAAAGAATATAAGTTATGAAGCTCCTCATTATGCAATTTTCTCCAACCTCCTGTTACTTCATCCCTCTTCGGTCCAAATATTCCCCTCAGCACCCTGTTCTCAAACACCCTCAGTCTACGTTCCTCCCTTAATGTTTATGGTATGCTCCTTGTTGTGTATCATATGAAAGATATATAATGGGACAGTCAATACAACAATAATTCTGAAAAGATAAAATAGACACTACTGTGGCACCATTTGTTTTTATTAGCTGTTGGTGGTACCGCTACATGTTTTGACAATTTTCTTGGGTCATCTTCAGGAGTAAAATAATACTGGTACTAGTTCTTGAATTGCGTCATTGATCAATATGTATTCATAATGTGTTTATATGAATTTTTATATTAACAAATACGTACAAATTAATTTAAATGCCGTTCAAATTTAGATAAAACTTGACATTAAAAGGATAGAAACTGAAATTAAAATTAAAATTAGAAATAAAATGGCGATTAAGCTACTTATAACTAATATTATAAGTCTTACTTAAGACTTTGTGACCTCTACATATCTGTATATATTTTTTTATTGCTAGTGGGGTGGGACTAAGTCCCTTGCACTGCGGCCACTTCTGGCCTATTGTACCAGCCCCAGATGATAGGTGAGGGTGATTGTGGAGCAATTGTTGGAATGAAGATTGGCAGGGGAAACCGAAGTACTCGGAGAAAACCTGCCCCAGCACCACTTTGTCCACCAAAAATCCCACTTGACCAGAACCGGGATCGAACCCGGGCCGCTGCCAGCAACTATCCGCTTGAGCTATGGCACGGCCTTACATATCTGTATATGTGTCTTTTGGATTTTCCACTGTGGTAGTGATAGTTGTGATATGGGTAAACACTTGCTGGGATATTTCCTCAGAATCTGAGTCGTGTTGCTTTTGACCTTCATGGAAACTGAGTTGTACCATCTTATATATACATTACGATCGACATTATGTAGGGTGCTTTGTATATTCGTATCTATAATGGTTACCTATTGTCGTGTAAAGGCTATACTCGTTATTGTGGGTATCACTCTCAGGTTGTTTATACGTGGACTTAGTTGTAACAATTTAGACTTGTTATTAAGTGAATTTTGGTGTTATTTAGTACGTGTACTTACATATTCAAATCTGATGTGTATATACACAGTTTTCCGTGGTGGTGCTATTGCTATGTTGTGTCAGTTCTGTCTGCACTGCTTGTTAAGGGGTACCTGTGTATATGTATACTGTGAATGATTGAGTTGTATGAGGTTGGAGGGGGGCAGTGCTGTGGACGGTGGTGAGAATGGGAGGGGCTAGGGTTATTTATGCATGTATGTCTTAATTAAAATAACAAATGTAAGGTTATGTATGTCTGTAAATATATCGTTCATTTCTAGACCCTTCTTGGTTGTGCTGAATATATGATTTTTTTTCTAATTTATTGAGCTTTGGTACTTTCCTTCCTACGTGTAATATTTCCATTGTCTTGTCTAGTGTATCGCATTCGTGTCTGTTTCTAGAATGTGTTGTGCGAATTTGAAGTATTGTCAATTGGTCCTACTGGCGTCTATGTGTTCGGGCATTCACTGCATTGCAGCTGATGTATATGTCTCCTGCTTCTACTGCAGGCTTCAAGTGGTGTCCAATTTTATTCGTAGTCTTGTAGGCAATTTTCACATGTGTATTCCCAAACATATTACTAATAGTCCTGGTTTCATGGCCAAAATATGTGAAGGTGGCCAATTTTTCATTTTCCTTTTTGTGTTCCTTGTGTTTCTCCTGAAAGTTTTGTGGGAGATTTATTTGTATTTGTGATTTGTAATTGATTGTTGATACCTGTTCTTCTTTAGTATTTGTCTATGATTGTTTGTTCTTGAACTTTATTTGCTTCAGTAGGAGGATATGTGTTCATGCGATTTATTAGAAAGTTTATTGACGATTTTTATGTTCATTAGGGTGACAGAAAACATTATGCATAATTTAATCTGTTGTGGTGGATTTTCGAAATCATTTTAATGTCAAGTTTTAACCATATTTGAACTACATTTCAACTAAAGTGTATTTTTAGTATAAAAATGTATACAAATACAATATGAATACATAATGATCAATGACTCAATTCAGGAACTATAGGACCAGTATTTTTGTACGCCTGAAGATGACCTAAGGAAATGGTAGAAACACGTAGCGTTACCACCAGCAGCTAATGCAAACAAATGTTGACACAGAGTGCCTACTTTTTCTCTTTCAGAATTACTGTTGTATAGACTGCCCATTAAATATCTTTCTCCCCTTACAAAAATTTAAAGAAAGTAAAGCTATCCATGTACCAGGCCGTGAAGGCCCATAGGGTTGTGAGACGTTGAGGGTCCCACCTTATTTAGGCAATCGGCTCACAGATGGCGGTAAGGTTGTCAGCCTTACGCTCCGGCCGCGCTTTACTCCCCAGGAAAATTATTTAATTAATTCCTGGTACTAATTTCTGTTAGAGGCTGAGTGGACCCCAGGGCCATAGTGCGGCTGGAAGGATTAGGTGAACTGAAAAATATCCAATTACCTTATCGGGACTTGAACCAGCGCCCTTCCGGCTTGTAGCGTAGCCTCTCAACTAACTGCGCTACCACGTGCCCCTACCTTTCTCCCCTTACTGTCAGATACCAAGTTTCACACCTATATAGAAGCACAGGCAACATTATAGTTTTGTTTATTCTAACTTTTACGTTCTTAGACGGCAGACGGGGAAGAAAAAGGCTCTGCACTGAATGGTAAGAAGCATTACCCGAATTTAATCTCCTTTCAGTTTCCTCCTGAATCAAATTTTGATTTGGTACTGACGTTCCCAAACATTTGTACCCAGCCACATTTTCAAAGGACCTGTTAGCTATCTTTATATCATGAGTTGCCCTGCAATATGATGACGAGGCAGCAGGATACTCGCATACTTAGCTCTCTCTGCGTTTACTTATAGACCAACCTCCTTATTATCTCCAATTAAAGTTCTTTGAGTTTGTCTTCATAGTGTCTATGTTATCCCCCACTAGATTCAAATCATCAGTATAGACCATCAGTTGATATGTCCCATTTAATTTCAGTCCCAATGGGAGTGCGTAGTAGGAGGAGTTCCCAGTTTGCTCCCGACGATAGATGAAAGTAGAAAAGATGGTGGCTTGTAGAGGAGACAAGTAACTTGGCGCCGGATTCGAAAGAAAGGGACCTGCTGTTCCTCGCATTGTCAGAAGTGAAGGGAGATTCAGGATGACAAGCAACTCGCACACTATTTCTTTTCCTTGGCACTACAGCCTCAGTGGGCCTAGGCCTACCTCCATCAACTTCTCAGTTCACTTCGGGTTTTCTAGATCTTACACATTCGGTAGGACTCCTTGGGCGGGTGATCAGCTCGTCGCAAGGCCTGTACACAAATACAGAAAAACGCACACACACAAACTAAACATCAATGCCCTGAGTGGGATTCGAACCCACGATCCCGGTTTACAAGCGAGCGAAGACAGTACATGCCTTAGACCGCTCGGCTACCGTGACCGGCCGCACACTATTTAGCCTACCGAAAAGCTTGTTTCGTTTATTATATATTAAATAATTCCGAAAGAGTAAGAAGACTCGAATGATAATATAAGTACCTAATTATTATTCAAATATTGTGCCTATATGTTAATATTTGGGGGGTACGCGGTAGCGTAGTTATTTGAGGCACTATTCTACATGCCAGAATGTCGCGCTTTCAAATCCTGTTGCAGTGATTGGATTTTTCAATCGTCCGAACCCTTCCAGCCCCGCTATGGCCCTGGGGTTGACTCAGTTTCTAACAGATGTTTTTTTTATTTATTTATCATTTATTAGCAATCTGAATTTACATTCTATGAGCTAATTTGCTGTCATGTACAATAATTATTCTATTGTACTAGGTTGGCTTGAAGAGCTGTAATCCATCGATTACACCTCAGTTTTCCTGGAGATCGTTTGGCCAAGTTCGTCTTAGTCTTCTGTATTGTGTAGGTTGAAGGAGAGCTTCTATTGCGTTGTTGGGGTGAGATTCCAGTTTCTGATAATGTTT